AACATGCTTGTTGCCCGCCGAGATGGATGGATCTGGACGATTGGGGGCTAATTTGAGTTCCTTATCAAACGACTTTTCAACGATATCTCGAGCTCCAATGATTCGAGGGTCGTAAACGATTATGGATGTCCCATCAGTAGTACGGTTAATGCTTAACACGCCAGGTGGTGATTTGCCAAGCTTATTCTCCGAGAGGCTTGGTGACAAAATTTCTAGCTCATGGCCTTCCTGGGTAAATTTCCGGCATTCAAAGCCTGTTTCTTTTTGGAGCCGTACCACTGCTTCGTTAACAGACATCTGAGCCGAGCTGAAATAAAATTCTGCTCGTGATAAAACCAGGCTGGTTTTGATCTCAGAGACACCAGGAATGTTAGCGAGCGTACGTTCAAGCTTTGTCTCGCAACCAGTGCAGGTCATTCCCTGGATGCTTAGGACTACACGCTCCCTACTCAAATAACCTTTCTCCAAATCCATGTGGACATCAGGAGTTGGTGCCTGTAAAATTCTACTCTCTATCGAGTCTGAATCATCAGAGCGGCAATTGTTAGATGTTACCCCAGCTGTCGCCGAAACCAATGCTTCGCTGCAACATTTCTTCTCACATGAAGTAGACAGCCTTGATATCACCAATTTATCACAACTAGCGCCAGTGGAAGGACGACCTTTCTTGCATTCTTGTTCTGGTTGTTTTTTGTGTAGATCAGAAACGGCCACGCAACAGTAGCCATCACCTTTGCCACACTTTGAAGGTGTTTCAGATGATTGACGATGGCTAATAGTGTTGGCACTAGATCGAAGAGACATGCATGACGTATTATCTATCTTCGAACAGCATGATTCGAGGTTCAAGGCAAAAAGCGTACGACAAATGCATTCGAGAGCATCGAGAGTAGGTTGAAATCGGCTCTTCGCTGACTGCATGTGGCTCTGGCATGGTCCTTTCTTGTTTTTTGTAGATTGCTTAGATTTTGCACAACAATCATCTCCCTTATCTATGCTTTGTTAGCTAACAATACAATGAAGAGCGGGGATTTGAGGCTTACCATATGCCTTCTCGTCAGCAGTTGAAGTGCTCGGAAAGTCACCACGAGAACCACATGATTCATTGCACTCGCGATCGGCAATACGAATGATGCAGGATTCTTTGAAAATTAGTATTGTTATAAAAATGTTGCAGTTGACGTTGGCGTGAAGAAACTCACCATTACAGCAAGACTGCCCGAGGCTAGAAAAGCCATCGCATACAACGCAAGGACTGACTGTCTCTGAATGCGCCACCAGTGTTGAAAGTTGAGCTTGCTTTAGAGATCCAACTTCATTAACATTGCAACAACTGTCGTCGTCAATCTCTGGCTTTGATCTTGTAGGAGAGAGTTCAACGAGCTGCGACCCTGTTAACGCACACGACCCTGCCAATTTACCTGATTTGCCCTTACAACAGGATGAAGACATTTTGAGGGTGCGAGAGTCAAATTGTTGAGGAGTTGTTGGGATATATTCGATACTGTTACCGATGCGTTTGTTGTGCTTCAACTCAAAATATTGAGCTCCAGGGCCTGAAGGTAATCTTACTTTCTTGTGAACGTGCTTGGCAACGGAAGTCAATCCACCGACGGCGATGCTTGGCGAATCATTCAAATATGAAAAGAAAGGGCTAACATCCAGGGCAAGTGATTCACAGCCTGAAGTTGTGGTGATGAGATTAACTATTATTCAAGCAATCGTGACATTCTTCTGTTGATCGTTTGTGTTGTCTTATCACTGGTTTATCAGCAGGTGGATGCTGCCAGATTCCCCTTTAAAAGCACGCAATAAAACAAAACAGACTAAGCCATTAGATTCCGCTGATAAAATCGCTGTTTATTCTTCTTGGACGTCGCCCGAAGTAACATATCAATCACAAAGAATGAAATCAGAAAGGGACACAAAAGTGGATGACACGATCACATCATCTCAAACAATCACACCGTCTCAAGCAACAAATTCAACTTAGACACCAAAGGTCAATCGAAGAATTGGTAAATTCCGTCCAGTCTTTAACCTCAAGAGAAAGACGCAACATGAACCGGCCGAATTTCGAGGTCGGGAAGAAAAGAAAAGAGACAGAAGAAGGAAAAGGAGAAGATGACATCTACAGATAGTCGTACCGAATGATTTAAAATTCTCTTCCGCATTAGATTGGTCAGAGTAATTAAGACAACCATCTTGGAGTGACTTGGAGTGGTTTAGAACAGGAGGATGAAGAATGATGAATCTGGTATCGGTGTTCAGAGGATTTTAAGTGGGGCAATCATCATCCACCATGTACAGAACTAGCATTCGAGAGAGGGCAGATGAGTGAGGAAATCTTGAGTGAATTAAATATTCTCAAGGATGAAGCGATAAGAGTCAAGGAACAAGAGGCAAAGGATATCCTGTATTGTTAATACATATCAGCGTGAGAGACCTTGTGATAAACTCTCGAATCTATGACCGATGTCGAATCTTCAGGAACTCAGACAACGTGCAGCAATTTTTCAAACCAGATTGATCTGAGCATTTTTGAAGGGTGTTTGAAATACTTGGGCTTGGTTCCTACATTTAAGGCAACCATCAATGATATCAGTAACGCCATGATGACTTCCCATGAGAGAATTGTTGAATTGGGAAGAAATAACACAGCACATAAGATTTTATCAATCCACTATACTTATGGACTTTGATATGTTGAAGGAGATGGGAAGAAAAAGGGGAGCTTAATGATAGCTAATCATCATTCAAGGATCACCAGCACCGAAAAGAAAGGTATCGAATAAACCAGACTCCAGTCAAAGGAATTAACTCCTGGATCCCTTCTTCTTACTATGCTCCTCTACGTCAAACTTTGATGAGACCAAATCCTTCTAGCCACACCTTAGATAATCGGAAAGCCTCTTTGTATGTCCCTAGCTTGGACAATGAGAAAGCCTAACGCAGTCAATCGTGAGCATGTTTTCTGACCCGTAAAAAAATCGATTCTTCATGTTCTGGTTAGAGAATATGATCAAAATTTGCTCTTTGAATAAATTGGTTAAAGCAAGTTCATGCTTTATTGTTGGGGACCCAACTTATATCTTGTAGTTGGCTTTGCATAATGTCATCCTCATGAAGAAGATGGGGAATTCATTGGACTGGGTGATTCTCCAGCTCATATAATTCTACTAATGTTAATGGAATTAATAGAAAGTCCTATATTTACATTGATTGCGAAAATCATTTCAAGCTCATTAATCCCCTTCGAGAGTTGAGAGGGGATATGTTCATAGACATTGTTAGACTCAGATCTCATGAATCGATTGTCAAGTTCATCCTCTGACATCCTGGGAACTCGGTCTTCATATCTTCTCACAAACAAAACAAAATTGCTGTGATTTGAACTTGTTTTAGAGGTAAATAGTTGGGTCATTGGAAACATATATGGATACGAGGGGAGGATGATTTCGCGTTTTCAGAATGGTTTTGAGATGGAAGTGATGGAGACTTTGCATGATGGAGGGATATTAGAGGCCGAAGCAAGAGGAAAATGCCCAAAGAGTTGGTGCTTGTATAAGACGGAAATGAATGATGAAGATTACTTAGAGTACGTTTACTTGAATCATAAAAATGTATACAGGAAGCGATTGACTTATATCGCACGAGAGGTGGATATGATATGGATTGATTTAACAAAGGGTAACGATCTTCGAGTGAAGGCGGAGTTATGATCACTTTTGCATTTCAAAAATAATTGATTCTCATTTCTAGTGTTCAAACTGAAGCCTGAATTTTGTAAAGTCAAGTAGAAACCTTTCATTCAAACTTATTAGGTTTCCAGGATCACGGATGTTCAATTCTTAAAGACCAACAGAGCGATGTTGTTGGGTTTCTTGAGACTAGAAAGAGTATCAGATTGAATTGATTTATTCTCTAGCTAAGCAGTTAAGCTGCGAGTATATATTCAAAAAATGAAGGAATAAGGTTAGGTATTCAGCCTTCGGAATTAAAGTGCTTTGAAATCAAAATATTGAAAGCAAACAAACAGTATACCAAAAAGGAAAGAATGAATTAAAAGTTGAGTTTTGTTTGCTCCTTATATGCATATGTACTATATATGCATATGCTGCCAAGATCCCAGGAGGTCAACAGATGTTTATCAGCATCACAAGACCAATGGTTTTACTTGTCGGGGTAACCTTAATCTTCTTTCTTGCCTCTTCTGATTCTCCTTCGGACTTTCGCTTCTTGTCGTTTTTTGGGAACTGATGCAGGATCGATTGCAGCTTTATTTGAATCTTCCATGATAACATCTTCGGGTGCATCTGATGGTTCCAACTTTGATGATGTATCTTGCTCACCATCTTTCTCCAACTCTTTGGGTTCAATCATCTCATCGTCACCATCCCCGCCAGATTCATTAGGTTCCTTCATTTCCCCCTCGACGATGGGTGGATCTGGAAGTCTTGTAACATTTCCCACTCCATCAGTGGTAGTTGCACCAGATGAAATTTGAACTATTGAAACCAGTGAGCGTTTAAAATCCATTGTTAAAGTACAAAAAGGACTTACCATTTCCACCGGCCTTAGCTTGATCCAATCCTCTGAAAAAGTGTCTCAGTCTCATCAATTCTTCACCCAACTTGTTCTGACCTTGCCATTCTGATATAGGTGTCTTGGCGGTAGCTTTGACAGTCTTTATACCCGATGCCCAAACTCGATCATCTCTAGCTTCTATCAAAACTTTACTGCCAGTAGATATGAGCTCATTTCTAATATCCGCATTATGGTTAAACTTGAAATAGAGTGCGTCAGCCATGACATGTCTAGAGATCTGGTCCCATCTGGCAACGGGCAAATCTTTGATGGCGTTACCCAACTTCTTGGCTTCTAGACCGCTCCTAGTATGGGCAATCTGCATAAACTTTGACCTGTCCTTGACAACCCATGCTTTTACAGCCTGAAAGTATCTATTAATGATGTTAGCATAGAAGCAAAAAAAGGTACATAGAAGCTACTCACGCCTCTGCACAGGTGTAAGTAATCCCCTGATCATCTTTAAACTGCTCCATATAGAAGTTGCTCAAGTAGTTCTATGGGTCGCCAGGTTTATGCCCAGAGAACAACACTGTATTTTTTGGCACTTTATCACCTCCTGCGTACCACACCGTAACCGAATCCTTATTGGGAGCCATTACCTTTTCAAAAGTCTAGTTAGCGACGTGCATTCGTTGACGAACGTGAAGATTGTGGACGTACGTTTGCAGAGAGGATTTGAAGTAAATGGTGTGTGTCTTGAAAAGCCTAATTCTAATGTCAAATATTAGTAGGAGAGATAAAAGTAGTTTTTGCCAGCTTACCGAAGAGGGGGGAGGGGGCGGGGGATAGGTGTTGACCTCCTGGGATCTTGGCAGCATATGCATATATAGTACATATGCATATAAGGAGCAAACAAAACTCAACTTTTAATTCATTCTTTCCTTTTTGGTATACTGTTTGTTTGCTTTCAATATTTTGATTTCAAAGCACTTTAATTCCGAAGGCTGAATACCTAACCTTATTCCTTCATTTTTGAATATATACTCGCAGCTTAACTGCTTAGCTAGAGAATAAATCAATTCAATCTGATGCTCTTTCTGGTCTCAATAAACCCAATAGAATTAGTTTCTCTTATGGTGATAATCTTTTCCAAGTCTCCAACTTCTTGTGGCTTAAGCTCATCATTACCATCGACAGATACTGGAGAAACTTTGATTGATATAATATCTTTCTCAGAAAGATTAATATTGCTTAAAGTTCTATTTGATTCACTTAGAATATTATTTGTAGCATCTTCTGTGCAGAAAAGCCGCACGGTGACATTTGGTGAAGAATTCAGCTCTTGCAATTCATTATTGAACCAACTGATGGTGTCTAATCAAGATCAGTAAGTGACAATCCGGTGGAGATGATGAGATCAAACATATCTTCTTCTCGAACGACCCATATGAACTCAATAATAGTATCCAAAGTCGTTGTGTTCTTCGCAAGTTTATGCACAGTTTCAATAGCAGTGCCAAATGTAAAGGCACCACCTGAGCCACCAGCTATAAAAATAACTCCATCATAGCGTGAAAAATCTACCACTGATCCATAAGGACCATCAATCGAGGCGCGAAGTTTTACACCAGGATTCTTTATTGCCAAACTATGAAGGTCACTTGTAAACCCATCACAAGCAGCTACAACGAAAGTAGTCCCCTTAACATCATCAACCGAAGCAACAGTAAAAGGGTGAGTCTCGATTGCACGAATAGCTGGAATCCACAAGAAAGCGTGAGTTCCTGATTTGATGAACTTGGATGATCTATGCACCAAAACTTGAGTACCCCTATTTGGTAATGGGGTAAGAGTGACAAAATTTCCGAAGAAAAAGTAACTGAGGTAACTAAAACGTAGCAACCGATCAAAGAACCATACACCCGATGCAACAAATATCATGTATACAGTACGGTCAGAAATCTTTGGTCTATGCATGGCGACCGTGATGAGTGTGAGTAAATACATCACAACATGAACGATATACCAGATTTCGTACTGCATCTTGTAAATGAAAAGAGAAGTAATGAGAATTATTAGCATAGCAATTCCAGCAACTATACCGAAAATTTGGTCCTTTTCAAGTAATGTATCGTAAGAATTGGACTGTGCTTCAGCGACAACATAGAAAATGGCGTGAAGCGTAGACCAAAGAATGGTACCATATCCTGCGAGCTTGTGAAAGACTTTGAGACTTTCGTAAGAGTAATTGGTCAAAAATGCGAGGGGCGTATTCTTAAGTGCTAAGAAGGTAATAAATGTAATATGAGCTGTAGCAACCCTTTATGTGAATTAGCTACTACGTATACCCAAGACTAGGAGACTATGTGATGTCGTACTTACCAACCGAGTCGCTTTGCAAAATTATTGTATTCCGGCCAGCCCCCTACATCTTTAAAGGTAACGGCAAATATTGTTGCAGTATATACGAGGAAGATGATGAAGTGTCCAATGGATGTAAACCCCCAAATCTTTTGTAAAGAACTTTCTCTGATGCCCTATCAACGAGATATATATTAGAAAATGGTCTTTGATATCCGTCAACTGGTAAAACAGACCTTGTAATGGTAAGTAAAAGTCTAATAGGCTTAGGTTTGTTCCTTGGTGTATAACGAATATAAAAAAATCGAATCCATTTAGATAGAATTAAAATTGCCATAATTACGGCCATGGCAGCAGCGAAGTACTTAACGGAGTTGCGATTCCTCTTCCACCGTAGAATCTTCGCGGCGGCTTTGGCAGCTTTTGCTGCAGAACTGTTCTTCGGTTCAGTTTCGTTCATAATTGATTTCGGATGAGGGTACGACAAAAGTGGAAATGAAACAGAAGGCAAGGAAGAATTTGAGATGGCAACCACATTCAGTTATAGAAGAAGTAATATCCATAGGCCTTCGGAGATGTTCTCTGAAGTACAACTGTAGATGTGCTAGTCAAGGAGGTATCCTAGAAGTGCTCATTCTAGATTCGGTACTTGTAACTAGGATTAGGAGTTTTTCATCCATCAGTCATATTCTAATATTACTCGGTCAGAATTCTTTCAAAAACTGCGCAAATGAAAATATTTGAAGTATGAGATGCAAGCTAGATCTTCAATCAGATAAAACGGCATCACAAATAAGCTTTTCTAATATCTTATCAGATGTCGCTAAGATCAAACCAAGCGGACATTCTTCGTGTCCGAAGTAAACAGGGATCATGCTAAAAGTCTCGTTTCGGAGGCCAGTGACAGCCTTTCACACCATGGTTGGTTGAGCAATCTAAACTCAAATAGAAAGTTCGTCTAGTAGCCAATCATTCGATTTCATACCAAGCTTTTGAGGGGTTATTCTATGACCAATTTTCCTACTAGAAGGCAGAGAGAAAAAGCTAATTTCTCGCACTTTCGTGTTTTTCAAAAGCAAACAGTGCCAGCACTTATCCAAGCTTAATCCAATCCGACTTCTACAGGCAAGCAAAAGGTAAAGGTTGTAATTTAATCAACTGCTTTTCACTTGAAGGCGGAAAATCGTGGTAAGAAAAGTGGATCGATTCATCCTCGATGGTCAGTCACTTGAACATTTTTGAGAAGATGGGAGGATAATATGGGAGGTTATTGATCAATTAAATTGAGGTTGGAAATTCAATGTGTAGTTTAAAATTTAGATGTTTGACCCAAAATTCTTCGCACTAGCGCAGAGTCAGCCTGCCAGTCTATTTCAACGGCGTCTAGTACCACTTCTGTTGTTGAAGGGCCTTTGAATCCACCATGTATTGGTACTTGGTGAAGAGCCAACGTTAACTACCTGTTCATCGCCCCACCAACTAATGCCTTTGTGTCGCTCTTCCTACTCGTGCTTCCAGAAAGTGTGGAACTCAAGCAGTGGAGAAACCAGGATATCCCTCTTGGATTTTACCATATTCTCGAACGTGCATAACGCTCAAAGTTGCATACTTCCTAACCGCACGAGTATTTCACCATGTCACATCCTTTGAGTGATAAACTTGAGGTGACGATATCACCTCAGACTACTTCAAAAAGCTAGACGCATAGCTACAGTATGAATAACCATCTTTAGACCACCTTTGCCAGAAACTTAGACAGTTTGGTAATTTGACCGAGATGTGGTGTGCTTGGAAAGAATTAGGTAGTAGTCTCACCAGGAATCGAATAAAATAGTTCCCCAACTGTTTCCACACACGGTCGACTATGCTCGGTCAAAGATCTCCAGAATAGATTTCTTGAAGAATGTAGAGAGCTGTATCATATGGCCATAGATATGTAATGTGGTTGAAGTAAGACGGGATGAAAGTGTCCAAAACGGAAGGATATTTCATAGTAGAGTCACAAGATGAATCAGAGGACAATAAGATTTTAATCATGTCAGATTGTAAAGGAATCTTACATATTGATGATGGATTTGCGAACTTCTCCAAGTCAAGTGATAGTAAGAAACATGTCAATTGGTAAGAATGTTTCACCGAACCGCGCAATGAGCTAAGTATACTTGATATGGCCCTTCTTTTCCGATAATCAATATTCTATCAGGATTAATTCATGATTGATTTCTAACCAAGTGAGTCATTATCAAGGTAATTTAGATCTCACTCGGGTCGGAAGCCTTCAGTTGTAAACAATTTGGGAATGTATTTTTCGTTTTCCAACAGCCCCTTTCTCATGCATTTTAGGCAGGCTCGAAGCGAAGGAAAAAGATCGAAATTCAACCAATAACTTATCATTAATGTCGAAAGCAAGTGGAGGAACAAATGTAAATGAAGTTCACACGTGGTATCTTAGTATATCTTTAAATAAAGGCTGACTGTGCCGTCACATACCAGCTTTTTTCATCCCACTTATTAACCTCGCATTTATCAGCAAATCCTCCAAACATCATCGTTAGGTCGTATCATGATATCGTAATTCTGATTGAGGCCATACCACTACCAGGAAGGCTTAACTATCCAATGTCAATTATCGTGAGATTTTAGGCAACTGCGCAGCCAATCCTATAAACGAAGTTCACAATAACTTAACACTTGATCTTCAACATAATCGCCTTAGGATGGATTTGAAAAGTTTCCGAAAGAGCTAACCTATATAGAAGAATTGTTCCTTGCAGAGGCTTATTCTCGCTAATCTATGCCGTCCCCCACGCCCAATGAATGTAAGCTTACCGTTTCAAACGGAAATAATATCGGTAAGGCTGCTAAGCTTTACCGTAATATTGGAAAAGATACGAAATCACGAGTCAGCTCGCCTGTAAGCTTATAGGAATGAATACTACCCTATCTAGCATGTTTTCAGTGGCGGTGTATATTCTGCCTTCACGGTTGGGAAGTGTGAGGTCCCTGCTAGAAATTATTCCTTTCAGCTTTTACGCAAGCCTCTTATGCCTCGGTGTCGTGAAAAGATGACATGACTGCTGAGTGATTACGACGAGAGTGGAAATTTGGGTTCTGATGTATTATTATCTATAAAGTCAACTTGATTCCCACAAAGAGTCTCAATTACTACATTAAACCTCGAATTCAACCCTTCCTGTCCCCATAATAATATAATAATACATCAAGCACAACTTTAGTCAAACGAAATCAAACAACATGGCTCAAGTACGAAATAAAATAGTTCCATCCTCGAGAATAATCAACTGATAACCTTTATAGAGCAACGGCGTTATGCGGGAACCGGCCATCACCACGATGAATGGTGCTCCCGTTTTGAAGCCAGCATCCACTCAGAGAATTGGTAATCAACTTAGAGCCACTCTTCTACTTCAAGATATTAATCTCTTGGAATTAATTCAACATATCACTCATGAGAGAATCCCGGAGCGGTAAGCTAGAACTCATTATTTTAACGACATTATATTGGCTGATAAACCATATCTAGTGTTGTCCACGCCAGAGGCACTAGCGCTTATGGATACTTTGAGGTCACAGATGATATCTCAGATGTCACTTCCGCGGCTTTTCTTAACAAGGTTGGAAAGAAGACCGAACTATTCTGTCGATTCTCTACTGTAGCTGGTCGAGCAGAATCAGCCGAAACTGTTCGAGACACTCGTGGATTTGCCTTCAAGATGTTCACTGAGGAGGGTAATTTAGATTGGTTATTCCTTAGCACTGTAAGTCAATCTCGAGTTTCTATTTGAAAACATTTAAAAAGCTCATGTCATAGCCTGTCTTTCCAATTCGAGATGGAGCCAAATTCCCATCCTTCACCCATGCAACTAAAAAGAACCCACGAAGTGGACTACCTGACCACAAGGCATTTTGGGAGTATGTTTTCGATTCCTTATTGTACTTTTGACAGACTTCTGACTTTTATAGCTACTTCACTCATAACCAAGAGGGAATTCACTTCCTCATGTTTTTATTCAGTGATCGTGCTACACCAGTTGATTTCCAGCATGCCAACATTTTCAGTATCAACACGTACAAGTTCACCAAATCAGATGGTTCTTTCACATATGTCAAGATTCACCTCAAAACTAACCAAGGAGTGAAAAACTTCACGCAGGATGAGGCAAATCAAAAGGCTGGTGTAGACCCAGACTTTCAAACTCGTCGCCTTTATGAAGATATCGAAAATAGAAAGTATCCATCTTGGGATGTTTATGCTCAGATTATTGACCCCCTTAAGGCTGAGCATTATCACATCAATATCTTCGACGCTACTAAAACATTCCCATTCTCAGAATTCCCTCTTCGCAAATTCGGTAAAATTACATTAAATAGAAACGTGGACAATTTCTTCGCCGAACAAGAGCAAAGTGCTTTCAGTCCGACAAATCTCGTTCCTGGTTGGGCTTTAACTCCTGACCCAAGTAAGTTATTCTTTTACAATCAACAAGAACTATCTTGACCTGTTCGTTATGATTTTAACAAATTTATTAGTCATTCAAACCCGTGCTCTTGCCTACGCAGATACGCAAAGATATCGCCTTGGAGCTAATTTCATTCAATTGCCTGTTAATGCTCCACACAATAAACCATTCAATCCCGTCATTCGGGATGGAGCTGCTGTTATCAATGGAAACCTTGGTGGTACTGAAAATTACTTTCCATCATCTTTCTATAATGTTGGAGTGGCGGCACAATATGCACAACCTGATGAGGAACAATTTCAAGGGACTGTTGTCAACTTTGAGAGTCAAGTTGTTGATGCAGACTACCTGCAGCCAAGAATATTTTGGGAGAAAACATTGGCTAGCGAGCCAGGTCAACAAGATAACTTCATTAGTAATGTTGCGGGTCATTTAAGCGCTGTTACCGGAGATAAGGGAATTCAGATTAGGCAAGCAGTTTATGGTATGTAATCAAGTCTAGACTTAACTCCGTGTACTAACATTTAATTAGCAATGTTCGGCAAGGTCAATGCAGATCTTGGAAAGCGTATTCAAACTTCAACTGAGGCTACGATCAAGCAAAATGAGACAGGTACTATGACCAATGGTATGGAAAATGTCAAAATCACCAAGCAAAATGGAATACCAAATGGTAATAGCCATAACAGCGGTATGTTCGCTCATAAGAATTGGAACTAAAAGGTGTGGGTACTTTTGTATTTGTAGTGGTATGCTGGAGATTGAAACGAGTGGAGTACTTTTTCTGAGTTCAACGGTTTATGTAGTAATAAATGGTGGGATGTACTTTCCTCAATCACATGAAAGAGAAGAGATAGAGGAAGGAGAAAGGGATAGCTTTAATACATTTTGTCTTTGCATGGCGCCTTGTATATGATTAATAGCCAATGAAACCAAGGAATGATCAATATTATTTTATTGAAGCAGCTAGCTTCTGAGCAACAGAGACAAGATCTAGAGGCTTTGCTGCCAATGACTGCCCACGACCCTGTCATGCTGGTGAATAGACCTGGCAGGCTAAAAGATTCATATAGAAGTATAAGTAATCAAATGGTACCACCAACACATCAAGAATTGGGATTAGCGTGAGACCGGAACGGGAATTTAAATCATATGACCTCATAGTTTCTTGTCGTGTTTCGAAACAATAACAGTTGATTTGGCAAGGTACCAAAGGTTAAGCCGAATGAAGACCAAGGAGCTTGTATCCAAATTTAGGCATCCTGCACTTTCTTTCAAGTAGCCAGCTCAACGGCATTAGGATCGCGGAGAAATCAACGTGAACAAGAAACCTTGATCTCTAAATCGTAAAGGCTCCTGGTCAAAAAACAAATTAATGCTACTCAACAGGTTTTAAGGAAGCATAATAACAAAACATCACACAAAGGTTTGAAAATGATATTCTCTTATTATTTGGTTGCCCGTAACCACATGCACCTCCGCTAACTCCTGGTATATTCCCACAAAATTCCGAACGCCTCAACTAGTAATCACCCACTACGAAAGCATTGCTGTTCTCAAACAATACCCACATCTATCAAGATGTGTACCATGAAGGAGCGGGCATTGATAGATCCTGCTGATGATAATTTGAATCGACGGGAAGAGATTCATAAGTTCCTGCTGGTGGAATATGGTACGGTTCAAATTCATTAGACTGTTCCTTATAGCCTCCTCCAAACAACGAATAATGTATGTGTTGCTGACTATCCCATTGCAGTGCCGGTGACTGCTGACCTGATTGATCATGTTCTACTTGGACATTGCTTCGCGGTTCCTGGGGATTATACGCAATGCCTCCACGAGCAATCACTCTCTCAAACACCACTGCTCTTTCATCCTGTAATTCTTTTCGTTTCATTTCCAAAACTTTCTTCCTCTCCCCGACTTCCACACCAAAACTCATCAAACGCTCGTTGCTATGTTTTGTTTCTTGAATCAATCGAGATCGTGCTGCTATCAACTGCCGCCTCGACTCCTCAATCTTTTCATGAAATTTGAGATCAGAGAGGATATTATCAAAGATAAAATCAGACATTAGACTCCCTTGTGCAATGTTCATCGGGCCCAAAGGTTGAACTGCTGGTTGCATTTGTCGCGCTTGAGAAATCAACATCTCTACTTGAGAAGAAAGGGATTGGGCTTGTGCAAGTGAAGATTGTTCCGTCATGTCGGCAAATCCTCCACCTACTCCCCATGCATCCATAGTCGAGGATTTAAGAGCATTATCCAGAGCTGCAATACATTGGCGCATGATCGTTGAAGCATTTTGCAAGATTGATGAGACATTGGACTCAATACTAAGTCGCAGCTGCCCCTCATCGAATGAATCTTTGGCTAGAGAAAGAAGGTGCTCCATCGTATCTTCAGTTGGAAAATCAGGGGATGGCCCTGAAAATATGGAATTATAAAGAGTATCGAGCTCAGCTTGTGCAGCGTTATTTTTTTCAACCAGAGGCTTCAACAACGAAGCTTTTGATTTAGCTTCTTGTAGCGTGTCTTTTAAATGGCTCAAGTGACGCTTGGCTTCCAATTCATTTTGAATAGCATTTAACCATTCTCGATGTTCTTTCTCTTCCTTTTCAATAAACTTTTGTTTTCTGCCACTTATTTTATAGGCTAAACGTTTGACAGTGGAGTCTTTATATTCTTCATGCTCCTGATGTTCCTTTGCACTTGCTGCCACCAAAGTCTTGACCCGTTTCTCTTGTTCCAAGACAATTCTCTCAATAGATAATTGATATTGAGTGATTTGTGCATATTCCGAAGGTGCATGATCAGTTTCTGAAAGTATGGAGAGGAGATGTGTGTTTTGAGCGGCTGAGGCTATGATATGTTGGGTTGCCATTTTTGGAGTAGCGATACGGCCTTCTTTTGTGCGTCCTCAATCCAGAAGATAATGTATAGAAGGAAATCGAAGCTTTTCAATGCGTGGAAGGTCCGAAGAATTGTGAGAATGATGTAAAATTGATGATCTCCGAACCCGTTGTGTATTTCAGGTCAGGGCACACCCACTTCACTGAGCAGTCAGCTATCTTTTAGCTGCATATTCAGCACAGCCTCATCGTATCTGCGCCTTGCAATGGCAATAAGTGACAGTAAAAAAAAGGCACATTCATTAGGTTTCAGAGATAGCGGTAACGAGAACTTAAATCATCAAACTTGTGATTCTTGGGGCTTGGGAGGCTTCTCTTCAGCGTTTTTCGTGATAGTTGATCATCTGTTGATTGTTTGAATGACGCCACAGTAAGATGTTATGATGAATGTGGATGCATATACTTCAATATTTGATTGTAGACGTCGGAGATGTGAATCGTTTTGTAATACAAAACACATAAACATAAACAATATAAGATATCTCTTGAAAGTTGTGATTGTTTGGTGTAAACAGAATAGTTTTGGTTGGTGTTGTCGGCTTGTAACATTTACAGAGTTGAACATACCGGAGCGGGGCATTGTTTTTCCGTTCTTCCGGCCTTTTTAGCCCCATTCTTTAAGACTTTAGGGAACTTCTAGATATCAATCTACATCAAACCCTTATCCGTCTCTTTAAATTCGTCGTCTTTGGCATTGGCACTTTTTCCCTAGATTTATACACCGTACTTGAAGATTTGTGGCATCTGCCGTCATGGCGATACAGGATCCAAGAATGTAGGATGCACAATGCCTTAGAGAAATGGAACCATGGACTTCCTCGGATGCAGCATACATATTGTCCAATTCGGGCGCTGTCGTGGAGGCTCTTTAAGGTTAAAAATGCTTGTGGATCGACACATTTGCGCCAATTAAACTGCAGACTTTCAATCCTATGCTCCTCTCCTGTGTTGGAACTCCCTCGTCCCTGGATTCAATATTTCAGTAAGCTCACGCAAAGTATCATTGCTTATCCCGCTAGCCACGCGGCATAAACCATCGATTATCTTAAATCATGAATTTTCGACTTCCTATGGTGAGCCCTTGTTACTGACGGGTCTTTTTCACACAATGACAGAAATACAGAGGTGCGGGACATGGTGTGCTGTTTGCGAGAATCCGTTCAGTGATATTCACCTGTGCCAAGTGCTTTTTGTGGTGAAGGTCGCGCTTGGGTGGCCTCGTTTCCATGCATCTGTCCCAACCAGCTTGTTCTTGCAATAAGTTAAATGCATACCATCATTTAAACTTCTTTCTTATGTTTAGGGCCTTGTGAAGAAATATTTCATTTCCACACTCTGGTAAACTTTACATCCATGAATTCCAGGCAATCTTCCAAATCATCAAGCTAAGATAGTAAATACACCGGATCAGAAATCCAGAATTCTTTGCCACATCTTTTCACCACTATTGCCTTGATTCCATTTCAGGCCAACGGAAACACCGCGGCCGTTTTCCAACTCGGGTACAGAACAATATATGTGCTGCGTTTGTAAGCATAGGCGTATGTAAGATGACAAATTGAGAAGCGGCAGCCAAAGATCGATTTCCTTGTTTTCAATATAATGGTGCATAAGCAATACATCATCATTTCCAGATATGGCGAGTTCAGTAAGCTCGTTAGTTATTTATCCTTAGGTCTGATTCCTGTTCACATTCATCATTACGAATTGTGAGAGCAATTCATGAGTGATTAGCAATTATGTTTTCAAAAGTGGTTTCATGTCTTCTATGTCTAACGATATCCATAACTGCAGCCTTTGCATTCTCGGAGTCCTCGAAAGAAATTCTTGAAGCTGCGCAACGAGGTACGATGTATTTATGTGATAAACACAGCCTGCAAATGCTAATCCATTTAGATGGAATTGATTTACTGGCATTTAACTTCACAACATCAGCATTGAAGTCTATTGATAATATTTTTTCTGCTAACCAGAGCATTCCCACGGTCTCAAACAACACTTCCCACCTGGACGTCAGAATTGATACTCATGGCAAGCGTCGATGACTATAAGTAGCAATTAGCTTCTAACTGACAGATTTCAAATTAGCACACGCGGTTCCGGATTGGTATCGTCAGATTGTACCAACGATTGCTGGTCAACCAACTCCATTCTGGAGTATTGAGGCTGAATTCGAATTCATGAAAAGCTTAAGTGAATCATCATGTCAAGCACAATCACCCAATCTAATATTTATGTTAGACATCACGCATAGGGTATTATCCATAACAACACCTGGTTCAACAGTTTACTCTGGGGATCGAGAGGCATCCGTGGCATTAGCACGACTTCTTAACGAATGGCAAGCAGCTGTTAGTACCGCATGCTCTTTAAAAAGTTCAGGGGCTGACAAGACATTGCCAGCTTGTTCGAACGTATCCAAAACAATTTTCTTTCGTTGCTACAATTCCTTTGCCATATACCGAAGAATCGTAAGTCTTCGTGATCTGATTTCGGGGTTTCGCTGACAAGAATATATAGCATTGTGGAAGCAACTTATAGTATATCAAAGCTTAACGCAGTTGGCATCATCTTGCTTTCTAATCACGAAGGATTTTATCTGGGAAACTCAATCTTTCAACCATTCTACCAAACTTTGAACAGTCTCACGAATGAAAGACATACTATATTCGTGCACCCCCATACTCCCTATCTACGCTATAATGGTGTTTTGATCGAGGCGAACCCTAGTATGTCTTTGCGATCAACGTTGAACTCCTAGACTTTGGTAGCTGAACTCTCATAGCAATTTACCCCCCACGGCAGGTGGAATTTTATTTCGATACTGCTAGAACTGTGATGGATCTCTTTCTATCTGGAACCGTACAGAATTTCACCAATATACGCTATCAAGTTGCTCATGTCGGCGATTCGTTTCCCTCGGTCATCGATCGTTTCCTGTCATCTAGTGCTGAAAATGCTAGTGATATTTATCACACGTTACAGACGAGATTTTGGTGGGATACGTAAGTCCTTACCTCAGCCAGAAAGAATTCGGCAAGTGAATCTAATTGATTGCTATTAGTGCCGGACCGACATTTCCTCATCAAGTACTAGGATTGGTGGCGTATGATGTTCCTAAGACTCAGCTTACGTTTGGAACCGTAGGTACTACTTTAGAATAATTGAAGAAGTGACTAAAATGTATGGCAGGATTGGCCATTCAGACGTAACCATGAGGCTAATGTTGAAGCTATGCTGAACGCACCGTTCTTAAATGAGGACGATTTGGATTGGATTTTGGCGAAAAGTCCAAGGAGACTTTATGATATTGGGCCACTTTAGGTGATGGCTATTCAGGTAGGGTTTAGGGTTCTAGTCAAATATTCGATTAAAGGAGGGAATGTCGTTTCAGGGTGGCATCTCAATTGCTATGAGCTTATGTTGAGACCCTGCCAAGCTGAACTAATCAACTCCACCATCTAAGCTCAAATGACATTCAATAAGGTCGTCAGTTCAAAGATATTTCATGTGCAAACCTTAGCTTGAAATGAACTTCAGTTGGTACCCCTAGCTTCTGAAATCTAGCGATCAACTACTACCTAGAAGGATGGCCCCCGAGTAGTCGGAATATTAGACATGGAGGTAGATACCAGTGTCCACTATCGATTAATTATCGAGCGCCCATACATTGCAGTTTGTATTGAGTCTGGCAAACTTATGGCCAAGGATGAATTTAGAAGCGGGGTCGGCCTACAAAGGGCAGTATGTAGCATTGCTGTAAAAATTTCAGCTATTAGCTACTCAATAATACAGTCATTCCTAGAAGGCTTCTTGCAAAGAGAATCAATTGTAACTACTAATCTGATTTTGATTTCGTAATTCTGACAACTTGTGTTGAACTCCGATGACAACTTGATCCAGTTTATATGTAAGCGAGAAGATTGACCTTATCAGCCTCGGGATAATATTCGTAGCCTTGCATGTCTCAGCCTCAGCATCATTGTCATCTCAAAACCGACACAAAACACAAGATATTGAACGGCGTTTTACTTCTTCCGCATTATACTTCTTCCCCTCGACCATCATCCCTGTTACCAGCAATGAATACTACCCTACCATCTTCAGAGAAACAGCTGATTAAATTATTTGTTCAAGGTTCAATCCCCTAAATGAAATCATGTCCAATAAAAGCAACACCTCCGATGAGAAGAAAGTCGAACCTGCCATTGAGATACCAGCATCAAAACCAATCAATAATACACGTTTCCGCCGGGTTTTAGTACTTGCTTCAATTAAACTTGCTAGAAGAATCCCATACTGCCATCATCATGGTATTCTCAGCATATCTAGAGGAATTTGCGTTAAATACGGCGAATTCAGGACTTTAGCAGAAGCATCAGCCATGAAATTTATTGGAGAAAACACATCTATTCCGGTGCCTAAGATTTACTGTTCTTTTGTACGCAAGGGAACAACGTATATTGTCATGGAAAGGATACGCGGAAGCCCCTTGGTTCGTGGATGGGTACATCGGACGCCAGAGTCTAAGGCAAAGATACTTTCTCAGATTCGAGAGATGGTTGCAGAGATGCGCAAGTTGACTACGAAATCGTCAAGAATTGCTAATGTTGACGGTGGAATCTTATATGATGGAAGAATCAATGGTCCGGAACGATTTGGGCCTTTCGAAAATACTAATGAGTTTCATCGGTACCTGCGATCAGATTTTCCAGTCCATCCACAGAATCCAGAGGGCGTCAATGAGCTTATAGAATGGCACGATGCCCCTTGGCTCGCTCCACCTGTCTTTACACATGGCGATTTAAGTAGTCTCAACATTCTCGCAGACGGTGACAAAGTGGTTGGTATCATTGATTGGGAAACTGCTGGTTGGTATCCATTCTACTGGGAGTACACAACAGCGATGTACGTTAATCCATACAATGAGTTTTGGAAAAAAGAGATTGATAAGTTCTTGGATCCACTACCTACTGCGCAGGCTATGGAGGAGGTTCGGCAAAAATACTGGGGAGATTATTGAGTTGATCACATCAATACTTTTCTACACAAGTTCTTTTCGCTGTTTGAATCACAACATACATTCGCATCAAGTCTTGTGAAGGATGTTAGTGCTGGCGTCATCCTTTTTGCCTTTTCTCTATCTCAGCGAAGACGGCCCCTAATTTTGCCTTATGGAAGGTCATAAGTTGGTGAGGATATACTACTGTTTTTGAATTTCTACTAACGTTACCACGGAGCTTTGTCTATTTTAGTTAAGATATCCCCGCGGGAGATCGTTTGTGCGACTGACTTGTCAGATTCGCAAGATATTACCGATCTAGAACTTGTAATTATTAGTTCGATTGTAAGATATTTTTTAAAAAAAAAACCTTGGAATGTATAGATTGTTTTGAGCTCAAACAAAATTTCCTCTAATTTGGTATGATGGGTTTTTAAACAACATCACCTCTCATCAACCTACGGCGGCGGTTAAATCATTGATCTGTTTCAGATTTAAGCGGCGTCAATCAATGAGGTCTAATTTGGCATTCATGCCAATGATAACAATTAGTCTGACTCTGAATCCCAATCAACTAGCGTATTGCGGTGCCATAAACGCCGTGCGACGCAATTCAACACACCCGCACATCGCGCTAATTGACGACTTCCACATCAACCTCTCATCAGAAACATAAAAAGGCAGGAGCATTCCTAATGCTGAGTTTTCCTCCAACTTAAGAGTCTCGTCCCTCATGAGGTTGCTGAGATACTCTTAAAGACCATCAACAAATGTTCATTTCCTTCCAAACTTCACAATATAAGACGCCGTACTGCTTTTTTTTTAGAGTTTGAACCACGGAAAAGACTATTCAATCAACAGACGATCACTTATCTCTCTTCAAACTTTCCTCAAGTTAATCATTTTGAAACAATCATGCCTTCCGATAAGAATCGACTCTATATTGCTCTCTATGCACGCGGTGGCAAAGCCACTATGCCAGAGAAGGAAGACACGTAAGATTTCTGACCCGCGTATTTAGAGGTGAAGGCCACTTCCAGCTGACAAACTTTGATCGGAAAGATATCACTGGGCTTTAATTATTGGGCCTAAAAAGGAGGGTAAAGATTCACAAGGGACACGTTTTCACGCCAAAGAGAGTATGGTCTCCTCGTCTGGGAAACACGATTGGAAGTACGAAGAGGCGTCTATTCGTCTCATAGCCACTCAAATGCTTCTAGTTCGGGTGATGATTGCGAAAATTGAAGATAATGATCGTATGTTGCAGATCCTGCGAGGGATTCCTATAAGAGGGGGAGATGAAGGTTGGAATTGTGTGGGATGGATAAGGGAGGCATTGTTGGAGCTACAAAACGATGGGAAGGTTTTAGGCACGTCCGTTATGGAGTGGATCACAGTTCGGAATGCGGCGATGGGCTATTGTCAGAAGAAGAAGGATGAGCATCGTTTTGATGGGGTGGTGGAGTGGAAGACTTATAAGGCGGCGACATTCGATTTACTTGATGGGAAGGAGACGATACCTTAGGGGTTTAAGGGTAGGTTCTACATGCCCAAGAGAGGAAAATGCCTCCTGGGACTGGACCCACGAACAGGATAGCCGATAGTCTCGACTGCAGCTCAACAATGAGAATCTTTTGGATTCCGGAATTGATTTCGGATATTCAAAGTATATCCAAGCATCCAAAGAATTCCGATTATTGAAAACCTAGATCTAGTCCAGACTATTAGGCCCGCTGACTTCATAATGCTGTTCTTTTCCATACAGGGGAACATGTTTACCAACTCTATGTTCGTTGTTCTCTGACAGTTCGCCGGAAACTATCATCGGTAGTATACTTTCGACACTTTCTTCGAACAACCTCGATGGCAGCAGGGCTGCGCACCCGAAAAGGCATCAGGTAGACTATTGCCAGACCACGGAGGGAATGCGATTTGGGTGTAAGATATTAGTGGTAGTTTTCAAATACTAAATTTTCTTTTGCCAGATTACACAAATCGTCAATAAATCCAATCCGATCCCATGTGTACTGAGCAAGGAAGCTTCCAGTATTCCCCGCCATCCCTTATAGCTCACCATTATATCACGTCCGAATGGCAGAGCTTCTCTGATCAGTATAGGTACATTCATAGGCCAAGATTTACGCCAGCTTATCTACGACGGGCCACCATCTACCAATCACTATGGAGTAGATATCGTCAACCACCTGGAGACTGGCTATGAAGAGTGTTCGGTTGAATAGATAGAAATCAAAAATATTGGCGTACGGCATATAAATTTGTGTTACACTTGCACATTGTGTTGGACGACGATTGTGAGATTTGACAGAGTTGATCAGTATCATGGAACACTGGTGTATTATAACCCACGTATGTCTCTCATCTTCCCATGATATGAGAGATTACTTGAGGAGGATGGTCTTGCTATAGAACCAAAAGGATTAAGGGAAATGTATGAGAATTTGAGTTTGAGCTTCGGTTAGGGAGGTGGTAAATGGGAAGTTGTAAGTTCTAAATTCTAAGCAAGGCGTGGTAAAGTAGTAGAGTGTAGTGTAGAGGGAGTGTCACGTGGTAGAGTGGTAGAGTTGGTAGGTTAAATGGCTCGTTTTCGGTGTTAGGTTACTCCACCTTTCCGAAGCCCCACTTAAAGTCAGCCTTACCTAAGCTTGTCCACTCTCAATCCACAACATGGTGAACTCACATCAAAATGACGCGTGAATGTCAACTTTCAACTCTTCCCCTTCAGATGTTTGGTCATGGTTCATGAAACTCTTCACTATGAAAGTGTCAAGTATAATGTTTGGTATTGCTTTAAATGTATACGGAATCAAATTCATGATTCCTATACCCATAAGGTTATTTCTCTTCTGTGCTCCCCATTTCAGCTTCCCCTCTCTCCTGGCAAGCCTCATTTCTTGTCTGTGCCACCCTACATGAATTATTAAGTTCCCGTCTCTAGCATCCGCAGTCTTTTGATTTGCAGATCATTTTGGATCATCGAGAATCCCTACGAGGTATGACCTGGTGGACCTCCCTCTTCTCTGTTATCTCCTTCGCTGTCTTCAGTCTTCACCAACCTCAACACAGTATGTCCCCCAATATGACTACCTCCAACTCAGCTCGAAACAATATTGTTGATATCATGAAACAATCATCCCCAGTAGATACCACAACTCCATACGATGCTAGCTGGGTAGCAGGGAAAACGATTATTATAACAGGTGGAGCGTCAGGATTTGGTGAAGGATTCTTTAGGAAATGGGCTGAGAATGGAGCAAATGTCATAATTGGAGACGTCAACGGTACAAGAGGGAAAGCATTGGTCGAGGAAGTACGCAAGAAGACTGCCAATCAGAATCATCATTATTTACAATGTGATGTTACGAATTGGCAATCACAAGTCGACTTCTTTCGTACAGCTGCCGAGCTAAGTCCTTCTAAAGGCATTGATGCTGTGGTAGCAAATGCAGGGATTACGGAGGAGCCCATGAGCTTTCAGGAACCTTTGAATTTAGATGCAGCGGAACCACCCAAGCCGAACTTTAAAGCCTTTGAAGTTGATTTACTTGGAGTTATGTATACAGCACATTTGGCTATGTGGTATCTTCCTCGAAATCCTAGGTCACAAAAAGCCAATCCATCCATAACACCTGGTCCAAACACACCCGATAGACATTTACTATTGATTGGATCAGTAGCATCCATCCTTCCTTTTCCTGGACAAGTTCAATACGCAACGGCAAAACATGGTGTCCTAGGATTATTTCGCTCATTGAGATCTACGACCTTTGCCAATGGTATTCGAGTCAACATGCTATGTCCCTATTTCATTGATACACCTTTGATACCTACAGGAGGTAGATTACTATTGGCCGGTGGAGCGATGGGCAAACCGGAAGATGTTGTAGATGCTGGCACAAGATTGATGGCGGACTCAAGAATAGTTGGTAGAGCTTTGGTTATTGGTCCAAAGGTTCAAGTGGAAGGAGAATTCAATTTGTTGCCGGAATCGTCAAAAGGTAACGAAAAGGCTGTATGGGAAGCTTATGCTGACGATTGCATTGAACTCGAGGTCTTTAGCGCAAGGTTTGTGAGGTTGATTAATACAGTTGAGACGATGAGAGGTTGGGGAGGATGGGCAGTGGATGTTGCGAAGGCATTAACGTATCCCATACGTTCTATCTTGGGCGGGTAAATAGATATTAGGAAATTCACCATATCTACTGGGAGATCGAGGAAGGCTACATTAGATTCAATTTTGCATTTGAGCCTGTATCCGAATTCGAACGCGTAGATTTTACTGGGACATTGAGAAGTGTGTTGAATGGATTGAATCGGGTATAACTGTAAGAATCAAGTCAACTGAAAAAGGCGATGGATTTACCTATATATCTTCCACATTCAATTTACATGGATGCAGCAAATCGAGTTCATTCTGGTATCTTTGGATATCCACAAGTTCCTTATGCAGCATAATTTCTATATTCGAAGATTCATGGACTGCCTTCTTTTGATTGAGCAGTACTAGAAGCATAGGGAAAAGGAACCGAGCTTGGCTGCCCTTTCCTCTCCCTTGAGCACGACTTCCAAAAATGGTCATGTACTTCAATTCATACAAGTTTAGGTTTCCTTCTACTATTCTTATTCACATTGTCATAAATTATCCCTCCTGCCCTCAAATATTAAGCATACCGTTACCAGTATGCAAATCTCCCGAATCATATAACCAACATACAAACCATCACTTCATCTTTCGTTCATCGCCTAACCTCTTTTCCAACCAACAAAATGTGGCAAAAGGAAGATCCATTCACAACTCCCATCACTTCACCTAATCTTCCCTATCGATGGGCTCGGGCAAACCGTCATTCACGTTTCTCTGGATTTCGAGTGACACCGACGAGAATTGGAATTGCGTTGATTGTCTGTGGTTTTCTGTTCTTGGTTCACGGATTGTTCCCTAAGGCTGCATTTGCAGAGGTTTTTGCTCACGCCGCCGTCAATTTCGTGCAAGACTAATATCATATAGTCCCCCTCAAAGTCCATTGTCGATCCGAACAATGGGACTATCCCCAATGTTCCCTTTCAACCAGTAGAGTCGAATACCTACCGAGCGCCAGATATCACCGACGCATTTTCAGCCTATAAATTTCGAAGCACATGCAACGTTTCCTCCTTAGATCTTCATGCTCCTTTCAGTCCTTTATGCTCCGACAGACGATCTATGCTAATGGCTATGGCATCCGGCGGTCGTATTGGCTTTGATGCACCATATATGCCTAGGGGCTGTGACTTTCGTTGGTTTACATCTGAGGAGATGTGTGAGATATTTGGAAGATTTGAAAAGGTGATGGTTATTGGGGATAGCATGTTGAGACATGTTTTAGGTTGTTTTAATATCTTTTTGAGGAAGGATATTGGGTATGGTGCTGTGACGGATTGGAATTTTAGTACACAAGAGAGGTGAGGCTTCTTGTAATGTCCGAGCTCCCGTCCGACAGGATTTCCTCCTTAACGTTCAGAATCACCTTGGAGATTCTGAGCTGTTCCCTCTCCTTCCTGCCCGCCTTGCGGGTGGTGTCTTTCTACCATACCACCAAGCGAATTGAAGACAAAAGTACTGATTGAACTTTAGGAAAGAATGTTTTTGTAATGAGCAATTTGATGTAAAAGCTTGCTCGGTACAAGGTATATACAAGACATCAGACGTGGAGACTCATGATCCAGGAAGTATATCTTGTTCCAATTCCATCAATGTTATGAGTGAGTACACCAATACCTTGGAGGATTCCCCACCACTGATACGCAAAATAGTGGAAGAGATGGTCTACTATAATATACCTGAAGATGAGATCTCTCGCCTTCGAGCCGACCTTCTCTTTCGTCCTACTTCCAAGCCCATAGCCATAATCTTTGGCCATGGCCTATGGTCTGATCTTGACCTTCCCAAAACGATTCAATGGCTTGACACTTTGGTTACTCTCATAGACTCTACAATTGGACGAGGTAAATGGAAAGGACTTTTCGTCACACCGAATGCAGCAGGAAAAGAAAAGACGGACGAATGGATTGTAAGTCAGGGCAATAAAGCATTGATGTTATATGAAGAGGCAGTTGGAATTGAGGCGAGAAAGAGAGGATTGGAGCATTTAGGGACTTGGAATATGAGTATTCAAGCGAGGAAATATGATGGAGTACATTTGGATTTGAGGGGGAATTTAGTGAAGAGTATGATGATTATTAATTGGTTGGCGATGTTGTGAGTAGTAGGTAGGATGGGATCTGGGGTAGTAATGTCTCAAAGATGATGATATTCACTCATAGGTAGTTAAATCATCTCATAATTAAACCATTGTTAAAATCCTACGAGTGTATATCTTTGCATGGTGGATTAGTCGATGGTAGCCTCGTGCTGACTGAACTGGCCACCGTAGACCCCAAAGTAAGGGATGAATTCACATTTCCACTTCTATCCTGACGACAAAACCACCAATCTAGTTTAGGAGTACTTCCTCTTGAAACTATTGTTCGCTCTCAAGCCAAAATATGATAGACATTGAAACATTCATATGCATTCACTTCAATAACTTGAGGACAGTGAGATGTGTCTGTGCGTTGCGCGTCTCCCTCCTCCCGTTCACGCGTGGGAGGAATTTACCTAGTAGTAAAGGGAGAAGAGGAGGGGCAGTAATGGAATTCTCTTTTTGAACGAAATTTCACTTGATATCCTTTGCAATACATCTTATTTACTTTCTGATCTTAAAGTTCTCAACGTTCCAAGGCTTTCAGAATTATCTCTGCAAGCATACTCTATACCAATATAATTAACCTCAACAATGGCATACCAATATCCAAAGGACGATTGGCCTCTAGACGAAAAGTAAGCACTCACTCTTATGGAACATTGAAAAAATTCCTAATCTCCAATTTTTCTTCTTCAGGGCTTTAGGAACAGAGTTTGTCACGGTTCAAGTTGGAAAACAAAAGGAAGAAGTGGCATTTCATAAGAAACTCCTCTCAAGTCGTTCCACAGCCTTCGAACATCACATGAAGGTACTCAAGGAGAAAGGAAAATATCAATTTCACTGTGAGGCTCGATTCGAAAACGCATTTTCTATTCTAGTCACATACTTGTATAAAGGATATGTTCCATCTTGCCCCATTGAAGATGGTCCCGAGTCTAGTTCTTATGGTCGACAAATGCGAGAATTATATTACTTGGCGGAACGATTTGAAATCATTGATTTAATGGACAAAACTATGGATGCGATTCAGGTTCATGATTGTCAATTCAATATTCGATGGTGAGAAGAGAGGAGAAAAGAAGGAAATATACTAGGTATGTAGGTAGTAGCGTAGTCCAATTATATCACATACTTTCGAGACATTGGTCCGTGCAAAGTCGCGTCTTCCTCGATTAGCCATCCAATTCACCCCTCAATTCGAATTCACCCTTCACTCTTCAGCCTTGCGCTAATTCAGTTGAGACCTAAATATCATCTGTAAGTTTTACAATACCTCATTGGGACTTATATCTTCATACAAAATCAACCTCTATTTTCTCCTCCACATTGGCTTCCGTCGAGGCAGATGAAAGGAACGAATGGCCCATTACTCCAGAGTAAGACCTCATTCTTCCAAATATCCGCTCAATGCTAATACTTTCTAGCATTCTAGGAATAGAAACTGCAACAATTTGCAACAGTGTATCCAAAGAGCAAGAAATCACTTTTCATACCAGACCATTGACTCGACTTTCTCCCAAATTTGCTCAGTTTTGTCGGAGGAAGAAACAAGCTGATGGTCGATTCACTCTTACCTGTGCATAAAACAAGTATGATGCTTTCACATGTATTGCTCTATATGCATGTCATGGAAAAGTTCCAACTGCACCAAAGGATATCGATCCAGTGTACACCCGACGTTTAAGATGGATTTATTATGTGGCTGAGGAATTTGCACTTCACGATTTGATGAATAAGTTAATTGATGAACTTCGTGTGTATGAATTTAAACACAAACAGGAGATTCATTTCCACGCGGAAGAGATATATCGAAATACTTCAAAGGGAAGTTTATTGAGATGGTATTCCGCGGCATCAGCAGCCTGGTCTTGGGGTCGAGAAACTGGTCCTGCAACTGCATCACAAAGGGATAATCGGAAGAAGTTTATTTCTGCCGGTAGAGAAAATCCAGATGTATTTGCCGATTTTCATCTGGTGGATCTCTTCCATAGAGATCATATCCGAGGTTTTGATACGGATTGGCGAGATTTTCATGATTCTGGATCGCCAGTTTGTACTTTTCATTGTCATGCGCCGGGAGAAACTTGTCATCGTACGGGAATTACTGAACCGGCGGAAGTTCCAGAACATATCTCAAAGAGTTTTGATGGGATTGAGGATGCTGTGTTATTGGAACGATCACAAGTTATGGATATTTCTTCAGATCAGGATATTCGTTCTAGTGCTCGACCGAGTACCCCGCCAGAATCTTCAGAAGCAGAAGCAGATGTTCGTCAAATGGAAGATCCTAATATGCGATCCGATGCCGGACATGATACTACCTTGTCGGTCGCTGAGCATGAAACTATTCTTCCAAGCGTGGGTGAACCAAATGGAGTCATGAATGACGCTCAAGAGACAGGGAACCATACCACAGCAACGGCATCCAAAGTTAGAGAAGTAGAAGAAGGTACAAAGGCATCTCCAACGGTTTCATTGGCATCTATTAGAAATCCACCCTCAACGAGAGTCGTTCCATCAGAAAGCAAAAAGAACGATCGTCAGCATAAAGCTACTTCAACAAATTTAGAAAATGACGCTCCAGCTGAAGATAATTATGGAACTTCTGACGTCGATATGGACCGTAAAGATTCAGAAAGCTCTAAGAGGCAAACCAAAAAAAACCACCGATAGATACGACGAACAACTTGCAAGTGCGTGGGGACTACCATTATCATCACTGCCTCCACAAAAAAGTCGGATTGTACCTGGTACAGTCGTCACAGCCACTAAATTTGGGGATATTAAACAAACCCAAGTTAATCGCATTGTTTCGGATGTTCAAGAGAGCCCCTCCTGTGAGAAGGACAAAAATCAGAATATTAAGATGGGTTCAAAGAAAAGAAAATCAATTGCAAGTGAAGATGAAACTAATCAGGATTCTCACTCTGTCATGACCAAGAAGTCGAAGATCGCGCATCTAGGGACTAAGACTACTAACATAATTTCTGAATCGCATAAAGTTACCGGAAATCAACCATCCGTAGTCCAAGATTCTGACACTGAGTCTTCAGAAGAAGATAGTTCGGAGCTTAGTACCGAGGTTAGTTCGAGCGATGAAGATGAGGTCGAAGACGAAGATGAGAAGATAATTGAAGATTGGTCATCTGATGAAGATTCGAGCTCTTGGGAAGACTAAGCATCTACTTCTCAAGCTGAAATACATCAAGATTCTGATTCTAGCAATAGCGGTAGCGAATCTGAAGAACATGAACCAGAAGAATCATTCATTGATTCTGGGATTCATTCTCATACATCTTCAAAAGCTACCTCTTCATCAATACTTATTCAATCACAACCTTCATTCAATCACCCAGGTACTTCTAACTCAAGAGATATACCTGGAGTAGCACCCTTACGACCTGGATATTGCCTCATCTATAATTATAAAGGACGATGCAATAAAGCATGTGGACTTCAACATTTATGTTTAAAATGCGATCTTCAACACTCATCTCTCCATCATCATCAATACCAGCCTAATTTTCGAGCCGTGAATAAAGATCCTTCTATCGAGACATGTCCAAATTGGAATGCAGGTAGATGTGCCGTCCGAGTCACCAATTGTACCCTACGACATATCTGCTCGATATGTAATGGTGGACATCGAAGTATCTATCACGAGCACGAGGATATATTCCCCAAGAGTGAAAAATCACTCCGTGATCGCGATCGCACAGTAGGAGAATCCTACCATTTCTACCGAGAAGGTCGACTCGATCATCACCAAAACCATCACCAACATCAACAGCAATCCCAAACCAACTCCCCCAACATCACCAACCCTCCAACCGACAACTGGCCTGAAAATCCACACTCCCCATCTCATCAACAAACATCAATAAACCAAAATGAAGAAACTTCAACACGTGATCCAAATCCTCTCCAGTCCCCGTTTACCTCCTGTCAAATGTGGCAGCGGGGAACGTGTATTAGGAAGAGAACTCGATGTCAATTAGCTCATGTTTGTGAGAGGTGTGGTCAATTGACTCATAGGACTGCTAAGCATGATACTTATATGAGTAAGACTGCGCCTAAGGGTTAGAGGGAGGGGAAGGGAGGGGATTTGGTTAGTTATTTGCTTGCTTGCGTTGCGTGGTTGGCGGGGTATACGTAGGGTATACGTAGGGTTGGGATGTTATTTTCGGGGAGGAAGTGGGGGAGGTTTGCTTTTTGACCCTTAGTTTTATTCTTTTTCATTTTCGTTATCGAGTTCCTGCCTGCATTGCGATTATCTGGTTCAAATATTCGAGGAGAATGGGACGGTCGGTCGTACGTACTTGCATGATAAAAAGTTTTAAGCTTACATTGATTGATTGCGGTTTGTCGATCCGCGGAACTCTCTCTGCCTTTTTATAATTATCTTCTCGAGCTCATCTTGCATCTCACCATCCATCCATCCATCCAACTATCTATCATATCCTTTTCTGAATTTATAAATTAAATTAAAATTAAAATTATTTAGATATAGAAGGAATATCAGCATTTAAATATTTGAATTGAGTAATGGCATGCATCTCTGAGGATTTTAATGAGTTTCATGCATTCGATCAATGTCGTCGTGTTCCTAGTTTCTAGTTAATTTTCGGATAGGGTGAATGTTATTCGAACTAATGAGTGAGCCCCACCCACTACACCCCAGCATCATCCACTACAATAACCTCATCAAAGCAAAAAAGCAGCATACTTCTTCCTCCTACTCACCCACCCATCCATCCATCCAACAATCAACCACCAAACCCCAAAGAAAAAAGATCATCAAAACAAAAAGAGATAAGAAACTGGAGCGGCAGGGAGTCGAACCCTGGACTTCATCGAGCATTTATTTGTATTTCAACATCTTCCATACGTACAGAATCACTGAATTGATAATGCAAACGAGGCACTCTACCACTGAGTTACAGCCCCATAGGTTATATTCTTGTTGTGAACATGTGACTTAATAAGATATTTATTCCAATTGTTTTACTTTTAGACCGGATCGGATTACCCACTCACTTACTTGTTATGTCGGACTTCACATACCGAACATCACGTGCTCAACATCATGTGATATAAGGATCCCAGTGGGCTCAGTAGTCCCAGTAGCACTGGGACAACTGGGAGCACTGGGACGCATGTCACGAAGGTCTATATAATCAAGATGGATTTCCTTTGTATAGAGCTTCGTGCTCAAGATCAATCATTTAGTATACTCTACTATTTGTTACGAATTGCATCATTGTCATTACTTAAGTCCCTGCTTGACGCCTAGTTATAAACCACCTCGAGAGCCTAGAGCACTTCCACGTGATCTAGACGGCAAACCTCGTAACTGTGACGGAAAAGTCGTAAACGGAGTCAATTCAATCACTTAGAATCTAAAACTAAAGAACTAAGAAGATTCTAAGTAAGAAGGTCTTTATATAAAGGGCTAGTGCACGTGAGCCACTAGTGGGTAACAACCGTCACGTAACAGTAACACTCACTATTTTATATCTATCAGAAATGATTGGTGATTTTTATTAGAGGTTTATTTTTCTTTAGAATTCTTACTTTATATATTTGTAATGTGGTTTTAATTGTATAGACTGTACTGTGTAAATGTTATTTGTTTAAATTTGCGATTTAATTGGTCGTGTGACGGAAACCCCTGCTTTCCTCCCACCCTTATTATATAAGAAACCTCAGGTACATTAACCATGTCCACACATGATACGATTACTCGGGATTAGTATACGATTTAGGTGGCCTGAGGATCAGATCCGGACAAGTACTAGATATCAATGGTTATCGGTAAAGTAAGATCATTGGAGGGATAAATATGACTTCTTTTTGCCTAGCCATTGCGGCTAGGCCATTCATTTGTGTGTATATAGAGTAGCTATCCCCATCTACAGGTGCTCTTCACCTGTAGATTCTAAGTTAAATACAATTGCTGGTCTATAAACACCCTTTTGGTCACAGGTCGAGAAATCTATTCAATCGATTCACTTGAAATAATCTTTATATTCTTAAATAAAAAACAATAAATGTATTTTTTATTTTTATTTATTTTAATATTTAATGAGATATATGACTTTCTATTGTGTAAAAATCTAACCCTAAACAGAATTACACTATCATTCCATTTCACCCCCGGACGGAGCACACCTTAATTTTCCTGTCCAAAAGAAACGGAATCACGCCGTGATCGCAAATGAAAAATTTTAGGCCAAGCTTAGACCCTAATCAAATGCTATATAACTAGTAAAAAAATCCTATACCTGGAGAGGAAAGCTCGACCAGTCATCTCGCCAATCCTTGCTACCTTCTTTGGAGGGCCAAATAGAACGGAGTACTTCCCAAATCTTGGGATCATGAAAGTGGGCCAAGTAACCTACATTGTCTTGATCGCGGGCTATCCTTCTATGCTGCCCCAGCTCCCTAAGAGTGAAGGCTTCTTCTTCATTGTCTCGTGGAACGCGCTCGAATATCCATGATCGAGCCAGATTCTGGGCCATCGCTGAAAAGGTGTGTGGTAGCCCGCTGCTGGCGCCGTATTCACCCTCTCCCGTAGGCCACAGTTTGAGTCGCTCCAGCCGTCTACCAGTCTTGTTCTGGCTAATGGTCTTCCAGATTGAGCGAGCCAGTGCCTCGTCCACTGCGCAATTAATAAAGGTTTCCTTCAAGTCACCCCTCTTCAGGAAGGGAAATGTATTATAGTCTAGAGGCTTTTGATCCTCCTCACCGAATCTGGGATTGTATGTGCTGTCTCGAGTAACCCGCCAATTCGAACAATCCAGAATAAGAAAGAGAAATCGTAAGCTTTTCATCCTGCCGAAGCATCTGTACATCTCAGCCTCAGATGCACTGGACATGTTGCGCTTGACTGGAATGGCGAGCTCCTCTAGTACCGGACACTGAACTTCAATCTGGAAAACACTATCCTTAGTGAGCTCTAAGGGTATATCCCGTCGATCGCGACCATTGGAGTCGGTAAAAGTTTCCTCAAAAGGATGAAAACTAAGTTTCTTAAGTGTCTGTCCATGATGGGACAGAACAGTGTCCAGGATTTGTGAGTCAGTCGGCCCGTCGATGGATAGTTCCTCAAGAGATTCGAAAGCCTGGAAAAAGGAGACTGCGTGCTCACTGTAGTGTGGTCTTTCGTGAAACAAGTCATCGCGGGTAAGATAAACGCTGAGTTTTTTGACTCGGGGAAATGAATAGTTCTGGGCAACCCATTCCATTGTCTCGCCACTAAGCCCAGATGTCTTTGCGTCGTAGCAACCTCCGAGGGTAAGTTGCTGCAGGCAAGTAAAGTCTGTATATCTGGCCCAGTTCTGTAGCATTATTGGGGAATTCAAACGTGAAACTCCTTTGAGTGAAAGTGATGTCAGGGATCCTACCTTCCCGCCAGTAAAGCCCGGGAGACCTTGCCACGACCCTCGGGGGCGGACTGACCTTAAAGAGCGTCCTGGAAGGAGATTCAAAATAATGACCTCCTTCAGATTGGGAGAAAGCCCAGTAGTAAGCTCCATCATAGCCTCTAAGTTGAAATCATCATCGCCATCAGTGTCGCGCGGAGCACAAGCAAGCTTCACTCTATAGAGAGATGGTGATGTAGCAAGCTCCATCTCATAAGGATAGGGGACACCCCACAACAAGGTCCGGAATCGAAACTTAAGGTGATGAAGCCTGCATTGAGGATGCTGCTCGTGAAGTGCCCTGAGAAGACTTGGCGGAAATTGACTCTGGCAGTCATAGACCAGGTCTTTCAGGTGAGTTTTAGCTTGAAGCAAGTTCACAACGGGAGCCCATGCCATGTCCTCCTCAGAAGACTTTTCAATAACGCCGCCATCATACACCGTATATAGGCCGTGATAAGAGACTGGTTCCTCGTCCACTAGTACCTCATCAAGGCCAGTAGTAACCAACCAAGACGTTTGTCGACCATAACCTTCTGTCTTCTTGGCGTTGAGCTTTAGAGCCCCTTTGATAGTGATGCATCGGATGTGACGAGAGGAATCCGTGCGAGAGAGAGCCTCAATAAGTCTGTCAACATCGCGCCGCAATCCTTCGCCATCGTGGACTGTGATAATAATTTGCCGAAAGACGAGAAAAACTGCGGCCTTGTGGCAAGCCTTGCTCGTCAAGCTAAAGGCGTAAAGGCTAGGCCGATAAGCTGTTTCGACACAAACTGCGATATGCTGTAGTACTTCGAGCGGCAAAGAAAGAAAATCCATTCTGGTCGCGCTTATAATAGTGGGCCCTATGTCCTTTGAGTTGATGATGATGATGATAGAGGAAAGTGAGACCAGGTCGCGAAATGAATCTCCAACTGCAGGCGTCTGTCAAAACAATGACACAGTAGGCTCGTAAAGTAATTCTACAAATTCAACGAGGAAGTTTTTTAACGTATGTTTTAATAATTTGCTTCAGGAATATGATGTCAGCTTGACATGGCGTAGGCTTCTTGTCGTATTTTGGTATATGCTTAGTACAGTGCCTTCCCATAGGATTGAAACCCTGAAGCGGTTTGTTGTTGAGCCATTTTTGCTTACTCCAAATACTGATCTTATTATTCGTATTACCTGAAATCAAAATTTGGACCCGAGGGATTCAATCTGTATCAAAACTACAAAATTTTGTTTCAGTAATCAGCTTGATGTTGGCACAGGCTTTTCGGTTAAATTTCCTGATTTGTGCAAGGGTACCGTACTGACGGGAATTTTATCAGATAGCCTGCGTCACAAATTGTACTCCGTAGCTGCTTCTATTTTCTAAATATTCATCATAACAGTTACTTCTATATGCATATGAACCTTTTACAGGAGTTTATCAGATTGAACACCAAGCAGCCAGGTCGTGTCACATGTAAGTGAGCAGAAGACCCTGTGGGACTAAACTGGAGCCAATGCGGGCATACGTATATCCAGATGTCGAGGATATCATGAGTACAGTCATTAAATCTCATTTGTAGTATTGGTGCGGCGGAAACTGACCTTTCGTATAAGTCGACGAGAACTGTGCCTTCAGCGCCGCCTATGCCACCCGTCAGTAAGCCCCAACTCGAGTCTGAGGCTAGTAGATATATGGAACTACGGGGCGATTCACCAAGGCATCGTGTATAATTAGAAGGCTTAGAAGGATAAGTCTTGACGGCATGTGCAAATTAGACATGATGATCATCAACATAGCCATCACCATGTGAGAAGAGAAACTGAGACACTATGAATTTGCGAGTATATAAGTTGCACAGTCTGCTTTGTTTCCGCTCTCTACCATCCTGTTCAACTCCATCAACAGAAAACAAAAACCTTTCTCGCGAGAGTTAGTTTGCTTTCATCAGTTTATTTCCACTTAGTGTCACTTACTTTGGCGCTTTCATTCGCTCATTTTATTTCTTACCCAAGAATTAGAGAGACCTTCACGATGGTGTCTTTCAAGAAAATCTTTTTTGCAACCTCCCTTCTCCTTAGTGGAATTGCTGCAGCCCAATCCCCAGCTAGTACGCTGAACGTCGCCGCCGCTGAGGTCCGTGCAGTCAACGACTTTGCTATTGAGTCTCACGACTTGAATACCATCGATGCTCGTGCCAAGCCTAAGAAAACTTGCCGCCCCACGAAGCGAAGCAGACTCGAGCGCAGAGTATTACACGCAGGTAGTAATGCGAACCAAGTCATGGAAAACGAGTATGTCGACGCAATGCAGATTAAGAATAATGGCGGCAAAGCAACTGTCGCCGATTTGAGCGGCTGCACCGCCCTCTTCTTCTACATGGATACAACCCTCCGCCGCGTCGTACACATCTTGTGCGGTAATGAGGAAACAGATGCCAAAACTGCAGCGCAGGCTGCTGCTGGCTCAGACAGTGTCACAATTGGGGCTAACACGCAGCACAATTTTGATGAGGCAAAAAAGGGAGTCCTTGCTGGCAAGCCCAATATCAAAGTCAATCTGCAGCATATTTACAGCACTGCTAAAGTTACGGATACAATTGCGATAACCCTCCATAGTAGCGACAGAGCCACAACTATTACTGAGGGCACTGGTGAGAGAGTTTGCAAGCAGTCTCAGTAGTTGTAGAGATTGGATTGAATTGATTTAATTTCGTTGTTGTTTTGGAGTTATAGGAGCGCGTTCGCCCCAGGTCTTCGTACTGGACTATCGCCATTCTTTGGATGTACTTTGAGAGCAGAAAAGTTTGTGGCTACCCTGTCGCTTTGCTGGATAGGCCCATCTGGGTTGTAGTTAGCTGTTGTTGTTTTTCTGTTTACTGTTTACCATTTACTTACTATTCTTTTCTTACCACTTGTTATACGCTATTTACGTTCTTTTACCAATAAAATTCCAATATGAATTGAAGAACTCTACGTTTTGTGGGGCTATCAGTTCTTGCATACACCAGCTTCCTGTGAACCACCTATATATTACTAAAACAATATTTTCCTCCATAGATATTTGTTGAAGTCAAAAAGAAAAAGATAATATGCCGGCGCCACTAACTACAACAATGATCTTACTTGATCTCAAAAGTTGGTTAATCTCGAAGAATTTGCTAAAGGTAGGACAAGATAGTTCGAGAGGATCTTGATGGTTTATTCGCTTCCTCTTTTGTGGCAATGCTTTTATCCTGGTTTTTGATTCAGTGTTATCGTCGATTATGATGGAATGCTCTGAATAAACATTAGAATAATCATAAATAATAAACGCTGGCATTCGCATACCTCGAGAACCATCAGGGAGAATGGTCTCTTTTTTGAACTCCTGGCTATATGATCAGATCTTGGTATTTTTGAGTAACGAGAATCTCTTTGCTCTGTGTCTAGGTTGGCATTTGTGGACGACATCTTGGAGTAAATACAAAGATTATTAAAAAAGAAAATGAAACTAAATAAAACTTGCTTGAAGTTTGAGAAGTGGAAACCCATCTTCTTATACTTGATGCGATAGTATAGCCATTAGATCAAAATGGAAGTCTCATTTAACTGCAGAATTCCTTGAGGTCTATTAGCTATGCCAGCTAGAAGAGGGATTTGAGGCGGTTGGTGTTGCTGAGATTACCCATTACGTCGTAGTGTGATGAAGAAGTATAACAAGGAAAATAACAGAGGCCATCAAGTCAAGGTCGAAGGCTGTTGCCATGCACAGCTTGTACATGATCCTTGAAGTGCTGCAGATGTTTGAGAATAAGCCCTTCAGATTGAAAAACGGAATGAGTACAGGATATTCTCCGGAGTTTCGGAACCTCTTTCAAATGATTATCCATATGGTTTATCATTTTGTGCGAAGTGACGGAAGTCCGTGTCCGATACTCATAAGTACTTCGATTGTCTCCGATGCATACAATGCATTGGGCATTTTTACAAACAAGGGAAAAAGGGTCTTCGTACGAAGACTAGTCCTTGGAATATCCTCATGGTCCTCGTCATCATAATCGGGGGTCTTTGGGTCATCATCTTTCGTCTCATCCAAGTTCCCACATTCATTATCCCGATTTTCATCTTCTCATACTCGCTGTAAACCCGAACTTTTCTATGGTAATACAAGATAAAAGACAAGCATTACATCTTTACCCCATCTCTTAGATCGAGTTTGCTCCCAGAAGACTCATAAAATCATAGCCCAAACTTCCCGAGGTCTTTTCCCTTGAAATTTCCTCGCCCAATAACAAAACCAGAGACTCTAAAGCCCAATACGCTTCGCTAAGCACCATAGCAATACAGACGCTCCAAAACCTATGCCCTCTTTGGCAAGCCTTGGTGAATTTGGCTGATATTTAAACCAATTAATACGTTAATACGCTTTAAGCATCAAGTTTTCCAAATACTAAACACAAAGTGAAATTGCAATCTTCCTGTCTTATTTATCTGAATTCCTTTCAGCTCTATCGGTACCATTGATTTCGAAGATATAAGATAGACGAAAGGCGAGTCTATAAAACTATCACCCTAGATTTTCGTTTCCGTAAGTTTGGGAGTAATCTTCGTGTCTTGTATAAAGGGATCGATTAGTCCTTAAGGTTGCCATTCTTAGTATTGAAGCTCTCAGATTTTGGGATCGATTTTCGATTCTCCTGTGAAGACGCTTGGAGAGCTATTCCTTCATCTATCTCGGATGACGTCTCTGATATCCCATCATCCAACACCGTGACAGTCATGGAGTCTACAATTACCTTCCTCGATCTTCTCTTAGCTGATCTCTTGGTGTTACCCTGAGAGTACTCTTCTTTGCGTGATCTCTTCCCTAAAACTCCTTCACTTGAACTATTCATTAAAACCTCTTCTAGATTTCGACTAGCAACGAAGCTATCTGAAATTTTAAATCGTTTACCTCCTTTGTTAGGGCATTTGTCTCTGCTGGGATGGATGTGAAATTCGCAGATACGGAGAGAATCTTTGGAGAAATATTTTGGCCATTGATGGAAATTATATGTGAGCTGAACTCGGAAGATATCTCATGCAAACTCGGGAATCTCGTTTGCTACTCTCAGCAATTTACATTCGCTTGAGCTTTTCAAGGCTGGTATCTCCCTTTCTAGACTTGGGCTGAGAGTCCAGCACGCAATTTTGGCAGCGACAAACCAACGTAGTTTTGATGAAGCGTTTGTCTTATTGTACAAACGTTTAATGCCCCATTCAATTGGAGTGCCCGGAGTATAAGATAATATATCCATAATTCTATTTTGAAGTCGATTAACCTGGAATTTCACTGCAAGATAGTATAGCTCGAGCAATGAAGATGTCTCGAGTATGAAAGAGCCTGGAGCGCCAATAGTCCTGTAAGTGAGAAAATGAATGAAGTTTCCAAAAACATCACATTCCTCTTCCATATAAAAATTGAGGTTTTTGTCCTCCTCGGATTGATTGTCGTAAATATTCCGAAAGTACGGGGAGTTCTTATATAAAACGTCAAAAAATATTTCATACTTTACCCTGGCCTTCCCTACAATTATTACGACGATTTTTATCTCTAGCTCTCTGAGAAATGTTAGTGTCTGAGATTGGAAGTGGGAAGGACATATCACTCAGGCTCTGGAGGCATTGTAGCTAATTCAAGCTCGTCCATGGACAGAACTTTGTGAGTATTTGAGGCACGTGGCCGAGGTTGGAATATAGGAGCTTTATATTGAATTACTTCCGGCCGAATTGGAATGTATTCATATATAACCATTGTAAGAAAATCTTTCAGGCTTCAATTAAAAAAATTCAAAATGTAATACTTGTAATGCTGCGTTGATGAAAGTAGAATATAACAATAATAGAACTTAAATTTGGATTGAGGAGAGGTTGAAGTGTTGCATCGTGGACATTGAACAATCCAATTAAGTAGAATGGGAAATCGCATTCCTCTTAACCCACTCAGAAGAAAAGGATGGAAAAGTCTGAATATGCTTTTCCTTTGTAGAATTTTATGCAATAACAACTTTGACAGGTAATGACCTCAATGGCACTGCTCAATTCTGGTGCTGAGATTTAAAGTAGTAGCGAACGAGGCAATAGCACACTCACACTGTATACAGCAACTAACTGGACATGATATTGCAAGATACTCTCTTCCCATTCGAAGCACAACACGCAAATCGCAAGTAAATGACTACCTAGTAGCTAAAATAATGAACAAATGGGAGACACTGCTCCCAGTAACCCTTCATAGACCATATATCAGAGCCATCAATGAACGTGATTTGGGATATCTCCTGGGGTAACGCTATGTACTTGTTGCTCAATAGTCACAAATAAGTACCAGATAGGTCTGACATTCACTTGTTCGTCGAAGGTGTTCGCTTATAGATGTGAATATTTAGAAATTGAAAACGAGTCTCGCTCTTGTGATGTTGTTTTGTGAAGCTCACAAGGTTGAGGAGGGAAACATTTTCTTGCTTGATCGTTACGGATATTTGTAATCTTCAACCTTGACCATAAGGCATCAACATTTTCTCAATTCGCCCAATTCATGATATCCATGCCTTGACATCCAGTTCAACAAGTCACTTCGAGTCCAACTCTCACATTTCTCAATATGTCTATGTTTCGAGCTAAGAAACTCGACTTAGGATGCTTCATAAATATTAAAGTCATTCGTGACCATACCAAGCGGAAAGTGTTCGCCGAGAATGAGACTGAAAGGTACGTTATTCTCTTCCAATTCTACCTTTTTCAATATTTGAGCTCTCCTGCTCCTTCAGTCTATTGTCCACTTTACCAAGTTATGCGTATCCTTGTTTCTATGCGTCTCGGTCTGCACTGAAGTGCCAATGGCTGACATACAACTTTTCTTAAAAACAGACAGGCCCTTCGCTACATAATCCGCAACCTCTCACTACCCCCTCGTGTTCGTTTCCAAGCACAACTGGAATTGACACAAATGCATTGTTATACAAGACCAACTCAAATCAGGAATAGATGTATTCTTGGAGGCAAGGGAAGAGGTATCTTGAGTGATTTCAAGATGTCGAGGGTATGTGCTCTTTTAATTATGGCTTCAGGATGTGGATGTAACGGGATGAAAGAATGGGAGCAAGAAAAGAGGGCTATGCTAATCATATACCTGCGATTACAGTACAATTTCAGAATGAATGCGCTATCGGGAGATCTACCAGGTGTCAAGAAGGCTAGTTGGTAAAGAGTGGATATTCTGGCTGAAGGAATGATGGGTGAGAGGAAGCATGAGATATATGAACCTGCGAGCAAGCGCCAAAGAAATCGAATTCTACGAGCCCGATTGCGAATGTACGATTGTAAGGAAACTCAAGACGTTTGACGTGTAACATATACAGGCGTGGGGATGAAGCTTGCACTGGTACTACAGATGCGAATTCAAACATGGTAGGTGGGAAGGGAGAGATGAATGAAGAAAAAAAGTACTTTATTTGTTATACCTGGAAGTGATATAGGACTCGGATTTCTACGCATCTCTGAATAGATTTTTGTTTGCCAAATATTTGAAGTCATATAAACATCATTCTGGGCCAGGTTGTAGATAACGCGAATCTCAATCTTCGGTGGTTAGCAAGATATAAAACATCTTCATATATATGGAAAGGCTTAAAATCAGTGATTCAAGTAGTTGGCCATCAATAGAAGATTTATCATTGTCGACATCATTGGCGTATGCTTTTCAAAGTAAGATCTTACTATGATTTTTTGTTTGTCTTGTCGCAACTACAGTTACCCGATTTACAAGTATTTTGTATAGCCTTGCAGCAAACTATCATTTCACTCCTCTTCGATATGCATCCGTTTTACTTCAGACACAAACAAATCCATCACACAACCACAACCATCAATATGGCATAGAAATTAAGATCAGACTTCAAAGTTGAACAATATCGAGTCTTCTCTGAAATTGGTTGGTGATATACAAATTCACTTCTACAGCTTTTCGGATTCACTCATTAGATTGACGTTCCCCCAATGACCCCTCTTTCCCGTGATTTTTAACATCTTCCCAACTTCTCAAGGCTTTCCCTTCGACTTAATTCAACTCAATCCAACTAAAGACAATTTGACCTGTTTGTGGAGACTTTCAATTCAAATATATACTTCATCACCATGTTTCGTCGACTTCCATCAGGTCTTCCAAAAGATCCTAAATTCGAACCTACTCTAGAAGGACTTGGGTAGGTATTTCATTCATCATTTCTATATCAATATATTCATTGCGGAGATTCTAACTCATAATCAGATACTTCATCAATGAGAAGGATGAAATCCGTTCAATCGAAAATCCAAAGGCTTACTTTAAGTTCTTCCTTACCAAAAATGATCGTTACAATCAACTGCATCGCGAAGCTATGAATCGTCTGTTCCCACTTCTTACCTACAGTATTCCAATGAAACTAACATAAACTTAGATGCAATCCGTGATATAGTAATGGAACGCCTTCTCAACCTTGGCCTCCAAAAAGTTCTTCTCCCTCTCAATGTTACCGAAACTTCCCCTCACATCCACATCCTAACTTCCTCCAACCTTTCTACTGCTTCTCGAGTCATCATTTTATTCTATGAACCTAAGGATGATATCGGAATTTTTGCTCATCGTATCTTAGGTGGTGCAGGTGGGATCAATACTGGTTCTGCTGTCAATATCGTCAAGTATATCCAAGAGAAGGGTGCATGTTCTGAAGAATCGGAGCCGCCAGCCATTATACTCGCCAACATGGGTCAAATTTATTGGTATCGTCGAGGTCAAAAACCCGTCACTCTGATGACCTGGTCCGCTTTACCTCAATCTAGTTGCGTCGAAAAGACCACTCGCCTTGATGCTATCAAAAACACAGTACCTGGAAACCGTACGACGGATGAACATATTGATTATATATTCAACCATGTCATTGAAGAACTTATGCCAAAGGTTGCCAAAATTGATGTAATTGGAGTTTCTGAAGGTGCAATGGGCGTATCCCGTTTCTTGGACGACTTGGAAAATTGGAAAAAATGGGGATCTCGCATGCAAGCCCTTGCAGCGCTAGCGACATGGTGGCATTCCATTGATTACAAGAATCCTCTTTTCCTCAAATGGTTAGAAGCTCGTGGTCGTATCTACATGAACTCTCCCGAACCTGAAGGCACCTACCTCGCAGGTCCTCATGGTACTCGACATTTCAGGGCATTTGGAAGTCCGGTCTTCAGTTTGGGTGAATCTTATTATACAGAATGCCTCTTGCCGAAAGGTTACCACACTGTGATTGACTTCTTTCATGAAGTTGCGGATTGGGATAGTCAAGGTGGAGAGTATGTAAATCCAACCTTTGTGAGGATAGATGGTGGTGAAGAAGACTACGAAGACATGGGATTTGGGGATGAGGGATTCGGTGATGAAGAAAGAAAGGATGGAGTTGAGCTAAAAATTGAGAAAGGGGAAGATGGTGATAGGAAGGAAGTCGAGGAGTAGTGATACCCAAACAGGTGCAGTTTGAGAAAGAGAATTCCATTGATACTTTGCGAACTGGACTTTCAGGGAAATGGTATGCCCTAGGGGATCTCGTCTTTCATGACCAACTGCTTGATATCTTCGCGAGCTTCTGAATTGCTAAGTGATTTTTTCTTTGGCATAAAGGAAGGATGCTCTCGCCTACTCTTCCACTTTCGAGATATCTACGGAATGCAATGAGTTGGTCCAGAATGTGAGGACAGAGACGATAAACCATTGATATATTCCGTTATGAGTATGAATAGAAAATGATTGATGAATTACTAGTACTAAAGAAGTAGCAAGAATTCCAGTATCTAACTGGAAATCAATTACGAGGTTTCCATTTGTTATCTTGATCGTAAAAATGTTCCAACTCCTGGTGCTTCTGCCGCTTCTACTGTGTGTACAGGCTTCAAACCGGCTGGAAAAACTTGCGACCGAAGCCTAAGAGTTCACTACAACATTTTCCAAATATTCATCAAATCAGCTTCACCAAATCAATAAATAATCATTTCCATTTCATAATGCGTCCACGAGTTCCAATACGCAGAATACCTTTCCTTCGTCCTTTTCGACCACCCAATACATCATCACCACGCTTCTTCACACAAAGTCTCAACCCTGGCTTTTCCCAATCTCTCACTCGTACAACCTTTCGCCGTCCTACCCCTCGTCCTCAATTCCCTTACCTCTCTTCTACCCATCGCAAACCTCCCGTCGTTCGATACGTATCCACCGAAACGAAAAAATGGCTAAGATCTGAATTCATCAAAGCGGGGAAATATATAATATTCATCTATGTTGGTGTAAATTTGTTCTTATTTGTGGCATGGGGAATCCATCAAGAATGGCTCAATCACAAATTCCCTAGCCCGGGGGAATGGAGATGGAGAACGAGGGTCATTTATAGAATGACTATGGATAATGAGGAAGGAGAAGAAGGAATGGAGAGATTGATTCCTGTCAACTGGCAGAATTTGGGCATAGGATATCGGGAGCTTCTGGAAAGGCTAGAGAATCCGAAACTTGATGGAAAGGGTATAGAAGAACAGGATGAGGGAGGAATCTTGGTTGCTGGAGTAGGCAGAGCTGGTTATGATATCACAAAGAAATCAGAGGAGTGGAGAAGAGGATACTATGGGGTTTTGATGGGAGCGGCGAATACAGCAGAACATTTGGATGATTGGGTTAATGATACGACAAGAGATATATGGTTCCCCAAAAACCAAATGCGTGGTCCATCGAATCCAAAACCCAAACCAATCAAAGTTGGTTCACCACCTCCACCCAAGGAGGAAAATTGCGTCAAGGCTTACGATCCGCCGGAGAAATTCTATATGCGTATACTTATCACGAAAGGATTTACCGAAAAGCAAAAGGTAGATGCAGCTTTGGCATATGCTGCTTGGTTGGATTTTAAGAAAGCCCCAGAAGCAGCTATGGAAATGTATAAATGGGCCATCGATATTTCGACTCCTTCGGACTCGTCATCTCCATTGATCGATCCCAATACCTATACATTAAATGTTAGTGCAGGCCTACCATCTGAAAACTTGTTGAATACAAGCACAGCACTTGCCATTCATCACGCAACAAATTCTAATATCTCGAAATCTCTGCCAATCTTTCTTTCAATTCTCAGAGCAAGGAAGAAGCTCCCATCTCCAAAGGAATCCATGATTGATACACTCATCACGGATGACGAACTACCAATATGGAAGACTGTATGGAAGTTCCTCAAAGAAACCCTTTCACCACCTGCCTATCCACCTCCTCCATCTGATGGCACATCTCCGCCTTTGCGCACTTCTAAAGAACTCTGCGAGGAAGGGATCCTTATGATATACATTGGAGAGATTCTTTATACCTCTAACACTGGTATAAAGAGCAAAGAAGATGGCCTGGCTTGGACAAGAGAGGCGGTTGATATATCAGAAGTAGAATTAAGGAAGAGAAGGGGTCTAGATAAGGATTCGAGGAAGGTCTGTAAGTCATGCCTAGAAGTCGCATTGGGCAATTGGCAGAAGATGGTTAGAAGTCTAGCGGAAGAAGAGAGACTAAAGAAAGCCAACGGGGAGAATGCTAAGAGTGGATGGTTAGGATTTGGAGGAAAGGTAGAGACAACTGGACGATGGGAGGCAGAAGAGAGTGTAGTGAGCGATAGGATAAAGCGGGCAAAGGATGTGCTACCTGAAAGGAGAATTGGAGAAGTGGAGGATCGGAGACCACCACCTCCTAGTACAGGAGGTAGAACATGGTAATGACGCGAAATTAAATTATCACTTGACTAGTTTGTCTCGATGTTAATGTTATTTTACGCGTCTATCCATATCCCTGGAAGCATCAATATTGCTCCCGAAACCCAGCTAGTGCTTGTCCATATGAAAGAACGATCAGTTCCCAACTCTGATACCGTAGGTGGGTGGTTATACAATGTGGAGACCTCCGTTATTCATTGCCCATCTCCATTTCATTGATGAATTTGAAACGATGTAAATGTTCTTTGTCTTTCAGGTTCACACGAGCAATTTCTTTCAACTTTATGTTTCTAAATTGACTGACCAATGATCCTATGGAAGCTCCTACCCACAAAGAAGATGTATTTATCTCTGTTCAACATCGAATTTTTTAAAAACAAAATATCCAGAAAGAAAACCTAATACTCCTTTTCTTGGAAGGAGAAACGCTGCTGAGCTCATGTTGAACTTCGAGCTCAAGGAAGTTCAACGGGATGAACGTCTTGGATTTGGAATTGAATTTGAATTCGCCCTCGCAACTCTTCCATTAGGAACTGAAGACCCGGAACCCGAAGATGGTCGTGGGATATACTCGATTGACGCCCCTGTTAATTACCCAGAAACGGTTACCAGCACACTCTCAGATATCGACCGCGAACTCAATGTTCAATTGCATATCGTGAATGAATTAAAAACCAATGGAATTACTGCTGCATCTCAAATTCAACTGGAACGGGATCGTAAAGCTTGGAAGAATGGCAGTTTGGACAAAGAACCGGACCCAAGTGATATATTATGGATGGTCAAGCATGATGATACGATTCAATTCCCAACCGCCCAAGTCAAGACATATAAATGGTACAAGGTTGAGATATGTACACCTGCACTTATGTTTAGCCCATGGAATCTTCGTCATATTTGGGATGTTCTCGGCGTTTTAGAACGCAGATACCGGCTGAATTGCAATCAATCTTGTGGTTTACATATTCATGTTGGGCTCGGGAAAAAGGAATTCAGTCTTGATGTCTTGAAGAATTTGATGGCCATCATATTCACATTCGAACGACAACTTGAACAATGCCATCCTTCACATCGAATTAAGAACAAATATTCATATCCGCTTCGCGATTATGCAGATATTAATGAGAATTACGAACCAGGGAAGAATTTCAGCTGCAGTGATAAACATTGGAAACACAATAGATATCTCGAAAGAAGACGAAAACTACCCACGGTGCCAGCTTTCGGCCGCTCGGCGAAAAATTCTTTAACTGCGATATTCAATGCCAAATCAAGAGCCGAAATTGTCAAAATATTCCGATCAGATGAAGATGTTCGACTTGGGTTCAACATCCGATTTCTCGATGAGCCTTACCCGGACTCTTTCAAACACACCATCGAATTTCGACAACACGAAGCTACCACAGCACCCAAAAGAATAGAACGCTGGCTCAATATCTGTTGTCGCTTAGTCGATGTTGCGCGCCAGACAGCCAGTGCAAGTGCTGAGGAAAAAGAACTCTTCCACCAGTTTCTAGAGGAACACATAGGACAGGATGTGGAGGATTTCGGATTGGTTATTCTGCTGGTAAATTTGGGGTTGATGCAGGAGGCTGAGTATTACAGTTACGAGATAGCTAATAATCCGGAGTTGAGACCACTGCGGAAAAGTATGTATGATTCGAGTTCTAGTCCGTCTGTTCCGTCCACCTCGGCTCATCCGTGAGGTTGTGGCTCGAAATATTGGTTGGGTTCGGTGTGTGTTTAGTATTTGCGATTGCAGTCGATTTGCAGCATTGGTTAATGAAAGAGTCTCCAATCTTTCAACAACATATTGTTGGACAGCAGTTTGGACTATGGAACACACTGTTTTGGCTTTGGCTGTCCATCTTGGCTGGAGTGTTCAGGGTTTATATGAAAATTTGTTATTTCTCACATTTAGATGTGCTCAAAAGATTCTGTGATAATATTGTGGCAGCGATAATGAGTTCTGTTGAATGTTATGATATGGCTTCTCAAATCTATGAAGGGATGTCACTTACATTATTTTCTGCAGGCACGGTTTATGCATTCTACATCTCCAAGGCTTAGTCGTATTTTTTTATACGAATTGTTAATGCACAAAGTGGCCCTGCAGATCCAAACTTTATTTGAGTTTGGAGAGGTCGTGGAGTGACTACTAGGACTCGCGTTCTGATGTTTCTCTTTAAGTATTCACTGTACCGTGGATACGAGACGAGAGGACGAATCATCAGCTACTTAAAGCCCTTTCGTACGATATGTCTAGATTATAACACTAAAGACGTTTATGACGGCTCGGTTCTTGTTATTAATAAGGAGAAGAAAACTTTAACTTTTCAATCTTCATGGTTCTCCCTAGATACTAAATTAGAGCTACACTATTTTTCCCTTGTAAGACCTTTCAATTGCAATTCCGGAAGCATCCTTACGCGAGAATGTCTCAAACCTTACTGACTAAGATATATCAGTCATCCTAATATCATGTGGATACCAGAAAGAAAATTTTACAAAAAGTACTCGTACTCTACGCGTCCTTGATGGTATTTTTTTTGGTTGCATGAAGTTTCCAAGGACATCTGGAAAATCCTCCAATTATAGTCTTTACCACCAAGGATTGGTGGATGAATACAAGCTTCTACAAACCCCAGGCCAAGAAGGCCAAGTTGGCTTTGTACCGTTGGAAACACATAATGTGCCCCATATTTTGAAGATCAATGGCCCGGAACTGAGGCACTTTTGATTGATTTCCTGCATATATGGACCGAGAAAATGGGATTCGACCGAAGATTCATCGTCGGGTAAATAGATGAAAGAAGCCTATATGAGCCATGTTTACTACCCGACGATTAGGCATTTCTTCGTATCGGCCATGAGATCAACAAGATCTGATGCCCTGGCGTCAAATTTGGTCTAATGTTAATGTACATCTCTCATTCATTAATACTTTTGAATAACTGTTCTCTCTCTTGTTGTCAACAACAAGCTATTAGAATAGTATATTTACTTCTCTTCACTACGCAGAACGTTCTTTACAATAGCATGGCCAGCGGAGGCGGTTTAGAGATATGGCTAGAATTCGCTATAGGAATGGCAGCATTTATGCTTAGATTTTTTGCAAGATGGAAGCATGTTGGATTTAATAAGTTTGCTCTTGACGATGTTTTCTGCTCTATAGCCATGGTAGGTCATTGGATCCACATGGAATACGTCAGATGTCACGGACTAATCAGTTGCAGGTGTTCTTCACGCTCGAGGCTGGCCTATGTTATTTTTGTGGTAAAGATCTGAAAAAGTCCCACCATCTATGCGTATCAAGAACTAATAGTTCCACTATAGAAACATATGGTACTGTTGCCGGACTTACAGCAACCACTTCACCGTTAGCTTCTGCACAAGAGAAGCATGATTTCCGCATTGGGGCTATATGCTTATTTGGTGCTTGGATATCATTTATCACTCTCACTTGGACATTGAAAGCAATCCTTCTTTCACTTTATGACCGACTCACGTGAGTGTACTTCTAGAGTAGTAAAAGTTTTCCAAGTTCTAACTCAATGGCGTGCAGGCTCGGTTTACGGCAACATAAGATGATAAAATTCGTTGCTGGGTTTTGTATATTCTCATGGGCCACTTGCCTTATTGCCCATTTTGCAATATGTGTCCCGGTTGAAAGGAATTGGCAAGTTGACCCATATCCTGGTGGTAAATATCCCTTTTCAATTGTTGCACGGAAGCTTGACTGACACTCATTTAGACAATTGCGTTCTTCGTAGACCTCTTCAAGCACTTGTTGGAATTCTTAATATCTTGTAAGTAATCCAAATGACACAAGCAAATGTAACTACTAAGACTACAATTTCAGATCATATTTAGGAGTCATGGCTATTCCGCTCCCACTTTTATTCGCCGCACGAATGCCTCTCTATCGAAAGTTGATCCTTGGATGTCTTTTCTGTTCTGGTATTCTCGTCACCGTCATAGTTATCCTGCGAGTATACTCTTCGCTCAGGAATTCTGGAACCCTATCAAATGTTATCGCATGGGCATTTCGGGAATCTTTTATATCGGTCATTGCTGCCACAGCCCCCGGAATTAAGCCACTATTCAACCGATCGAACTGGGTCAATAACCCCTCAGAGGATGTAACAGAGGCGAACAATCGCGTACATTCTTCTACTCATAAATTAAATGGGGGAAACATCAGTGCGATAGCTGGATCTAAAGATGTGCAAAAAGGAGTTGGTGGTCGCCAGTACATTGAACTTGGGCATACTGAAAATTGGCCCTTGAAGGGGAAGAAAAATAGTGTCGATGCAAAGGTTAAGGAACACGCGACAAGTTCTTCGAGTCAGGAACATATTGTTGCTGGAACTGATGATGTTCGTGCTATTCATGTAACGACTGAATATGCACTTCAGGAAGAGATTGTTTCAACGGATTCGAGGGATTCCAGTGATACTGAATATCAGAAGAATGATACAGACATAAAATCTGGTAGTTGAACATCGATACTATGAGTTTGGCAAATGGCCTTTACTGATGGTATGTTACGTTAAAGTAGAAGATCACGAGAGGGGCTAGGTACAAGTCTCAAGGTATCTTTTGGCACTGGAAATATCCAGTTGGGTTAATATATAGCTAGCTCACTTCCAGGTCAAGTATAGTTTACATCTGATATGATCATGTCGTTGCACATTCTACGGCCGGACATTGGCTTTAATTTTTACTTCAAGCGGATACCCATTTGATTTAGGTCGGGAATTTTTGTATTATAGATCGGCAAGAGGATGTCCTGAGGGTGGATATGCAAAAAGCATTATATATAGAGTAGATATACTTTTCATTGCCGAAACTACTGTAGTGCAACCCCTGAAGCTTGCTTGGTAATAACCGGGAAAGGAATTATTCACGTGCAAGTAAGCCTATCTGAATCATGTCCACTAAACCGGAAAATGTCAAAGATCCTTGCTAGGGTTCCAAAAATAATGAAGCAATGTTTCCCCAAATTCCTTCATGTATGATTTCATGATAAATTAAGCTTACAGTCTTAAATACAAGCGACCTCCTTTCATACTGTTGTTTGACATACCTATACGGGACCTGATCCATACCTTTAATTTATGGTATCCAAAGACCAAACCCTATATCATGGTTGAACACTGTGAGGTTTCAACGAAGAAGGTCCGGGTAGAACCTGTAAATAATGCCGCATCGGAGAATAGGTAAGAAAATCCACCGATTTCGAAAGCCCCTTCATCCCTTCACCCCTTCATCTTCTTCAACATCAACCTCCACCCAACATTCAAACTTTTAACCCTTCTTACTATCATGCACATTGCTATCATGACTGATGATTAAGTGACTAATCATTAACTTGGAATAGAAAATTACGAAATCGTCTCTCACAAAAAGCATTCCGAGCTCGACAATCATTATATATCAAAGATCTTGAGAAAAAGCTTGAATGGGCCTCAAAGCCCGAATCAGATCAGAATGCCAAGCTGGAAGAAACAAACAAGACGCTGCGTAGCCAATTACTCGATTGTCATAAGAAGCTGGAGAGTTTTCAAGTGACACTAAAAGCCCTCGCAGACTCTGTCGCATATGCTTTAGGAATTGAGGTAGGTTCATCTCGGAGGGTCAACTACGCTACCCAACCTAAACACACATTTTCGATTCAAGCACTTAAATCAAAATCGCGGGACTAATTGACATTCAACTTTTAGCAGAAACCTACTTCAGAACTTGAGCCTACATTACATAGTCATGACGATAGTGATGATGCCGAGCCCGAGGTACTACCCACGCAAACTAATGTGCATAGTGAATGGACTCCTGGGAACCAAACATCATTGAACTCTACCTTCTATGATTTTTCCGATATACCTTCCCCAAATACTTCTTTACACACACAACCTCTCGTTCTTTCTCCGAAACATCGATCATCACAACCAAACATTCATGATCAAAGTCATGTCGAAAACGAGACTATCGCCACATCCGTTGTTACACGATTACCCTCAAATGACATTTCTCATTTTCCTACACGTGAAAACTTCAATCCAATCAACTTGACGATTTCAAGCTCATATCAACATATGGTGGGACCATCGCAATATAATAGTTACCTTGTGAATGATTCCATGGTTCAACAAGAGCAATCTTTACAGATCAACCATACGAACTCACCAATGTCAGATCATATTAATGGTTTTGAGAATGCTTTAAGGCAGAAGTTGAATAAACTTCCAGCTTTGGTGCGAGGAAATGAAAGGTGCGCTTTTCTCATTTATATATTGTTTTATGGAAGATCTCGATCTCACAGACCTGAGCTTATCATTAATAGAATTCTGAGCTCGGCATATCTCATGCTATCTACCTTTATTTGCGCATCATGGCCTTCTATGAAAACTTGGCATTGTGCTACTAAAGCTCACCTACCTTTAACTAAGCTCATCACATATCATGTCAATCCTACAGCAGCTACATACGCTGAACTTATCACAAATGGAGCTTGGGTACCGACGAAGTTGCAAATGTCTATTCCACATCCGGCGGTAATAGATTGGGTACCATTCCCATCAGTACGAGATAAACTTATACTTTGTCACTCAACCAATCCTTGCCTTGATGAAATTGTTTGCGAAGTTGGAGAGAGTTATGTGGTGGAAGCTGATATATCCAAACTTGTGATGGGGGTTAGTTCTGCGAAAGGATATATAGGTGTTTGGGATCTCGTTCGATCTATCTCACCAGAAGCAGTAAATGCATCATCAGCATTTTCAAACGAAAATAATATACCATGGGATGAGCTTTGTCGATCTATTTTCGAACTTAGCAAGCAAATGCGAGAAGGCAAAATTCTTCACGGTATTACCATGGAACCTCTTGCGACATTACCAGCATCGAATGTCGCTGCTCTATTCGGCTCAAAGCAATTAGCACTTTCAACTTTCGTAGCTTTGGGAATGGATCTAGGAGTGGCTCAATATAAGTTAGATCCGTTATTTTTTGAAAGGCATCCAGAACTTTATGATGGTAGCGCAGCTGGTATAGTAGCAAGTGGCGTGCATATAAGACCACCCGAACATTTACGAATCCAACAGCCGAGTTTATTGAATGAGGGGGTTTTGAATACTTATAGGAATTTGGCTATATGGGCATTAGACGAGGGAATTTGATGCGTTTGGAGATTAGGCGAAAATGGGATGGTTAAAGGAGGAAAGTTTCGTGGTGGGATAATCAATCATCTATCTGAGATCGGTGGATGAGCATTTTAGGACGATTTGATGCTCTGATAAGTTTCAATAACTTGGATATTTGGATATCTTACAAGGTTAAGATGAGATATTCCGGGCGAAAGGGTCATATCGGTCATGTGATTTTATACAGACCAGAGATGGATGGAATCATGAGTTAGGTATGTTAGGTATCTTGGGTTTTATTGGGGTCCATGGGATTAGGAATAGACTTTTTGGATGTCTTGGGAATTAGAGCTTTAATTAATGATGTTCTGCTATGAAATTTTTGTGCTGATGATTGATCTTTAGTTTGCAGAGGGGAGTTGTTTGATATACAGATATACAAAGTAATTATAATTTACTCGGAATGTTGGAACTTGCTTATTTTTTGCATGTTTGTTGTAGATTAATTATAATCACAACTATAGTCATTTATATAGATGGGGGGTTTCAGGGAAAGAATGTCAAAGGATCACAAAGAGCTAGACTATTTATTAGCTTTATACTACACTTTTCAGCTAGGTATAAAAGCTATAGTCTACTCCTTCTCCTTTCTCTTTTCTACAATCTCATTCGTCATCATCCTTCTTCGGTATTGTTTTTCTTCCATCCTCTCTCTGTCTCTTTTTAGGGTTTTCTTTTTTTTGGCTTCATTTTATTAAAATAATTCTTTTTAAATTCTATAATTATAATCTTATATCATTAATATAATAATCTAGTCCTATAAGTTATTATTTAATAAGATCTAGTTTTGTTAAACTATTGTCACGAATCACGGTTCAGATTATATGTTACGAGGTTTGCCGTCTAGATCACGTGGAAGTGCTCTAGGCTCTCGAGGTGATTTATAACTAGGCGTCAAGCAGGGACTTAAGTAATGACAATGATGCAATTCGTAACTAATAGTAGAGTATACTAAATGATTGATCTTGAGCACGAAGCTCTATACAAAGGAAATCCATACTGAATATATAGATATTCATGCTCCCTTGGATCCTTTTGGATCCTAAGCTCCAAAAGCTCCAAGTCACGTGTTTTCTGACAGTGCGTGCGCATACGATCCTAAAGTGACCCAGATCACATATTAATTCGATTGATAGACGAAGAATTCATGAATTCATGGCTACCCCAAGCCCCCCAAGTCTCTCTAAAACCCTCTCCGATAAGGCTAGCAACCTTCTCCACAAGGTTAACGATGCTCAAGCCATCTACAACCCAGTTACCCAGCTCCTAGACACCTACCTGAGCTCAGAGGAAGTCCTTGCTCTCCCAACGAGATCACGAAAACTTCTCACTGCTCTTTGCCTTGAATTTAAGGCAACTACCGAGCGACACTTTGATGCCCTGATCACAGGGCATCCCCCCCCCCCCGAGTCACTACGAACCCCGCCACCAACTCTCCGCTACCCCTTATAACACCCCCTACAAGTACCCGTACTAGCCCCCCGATCACAAAGCCAGGCCCTAAGGCAACATACGCCCAAAAAGCCGCCAGCCCTATTGATCTTACACTATCGATCAAAAAGACGAAACCAATCACCTACATTGATAACCGCCTGTTTGCACGTATCGAACAATCCCACCCTGCACCCAAGCAGGGTCCTTTACAATCCTTACTGCACTAAAGAAAGTA